GCGCTGTAGTCCCGTCCCGTACGGCCGGTCTCTTGGTTTGGATGAATCATCAATACCTAGGTATACTTCCAGAACCTAAGTCCTGATACATCTTCGACCGAAAGTAAAACAACTAGCTAACCCAGCTCCGTAGATCCGAAAAGCCAAAGCGCGATACATACACAGCAAGCATGGATCCCCAAGCACCATCACCACCACCATCATCATCATCACTCAGCAGTATCCAGAAAGCCGTCTGGGACGGCAAACTGCCGCTGCACATCACCCTGGCCCCGTCCGAAAGCCGGACCTTTGACCAGACGGACCCATATCTTGTACTTCTCCTCCAGGGCATCCTTTTCCTGTGTGGGCCACGGATCAAGACGCTAACGAAGGCCCAAACAGATCGCCCACCCGCGCCTCGCGTACCTCCCCTCTCTCCTGCCCCGACTGCGGGACTTTTTTGCATCGGCCCTCATCCACCCCACCTCCCGCCCGCACGAAGGCTGGTTCTCCTTCGAGGGCGTCCCCCTGAAATGGCACTACCCCGTCGGACTCCTGTATGACCTCTACGCGGGCGCCGACCCGGCCTCTAGGGGTGGTGGTGGTGGTTCCCCCTCCGCCACTGCCGAGGACGCGGACCCCCTCCCCTGGCGGCTGACCGTGCATTTCAGCGACTGGCCCGACGAGGAGCTGGTGCGGCTCGACGCCGACGGGATGGTCATGCACGACGCGTTCATCAACAGCGTCAAGGAGGCGGATTTCCTGCGCAACGGCACGGCCAAGGGGATCATGGCGCTGTCGAAGGAGGATTCCGCGGGGCTGTGGACGGCGGTGAGAGATGGTATGCATGCCCCTATCTTCCCCCGAGTTCCTCTTGAGACAATCTGATAGCATTTGATGTATGTCTACCCTGGAAAGAAAACACTAAGATGGAGAATTAGTGGACCTCCCCTCCTTCCAACGGATATCCAACATCCTCCTCCCGCCGCCCAACCAGCCCTTCCGCAACGTCCCCGTCCGCTTCTTCCTGCCGTTGCCCCCGGACTCCGACTCCCCCTCGTTGAAGGTCGTCCAGTCGCCCATCCCGCCGATGATCGCCCCGTCGTCGGCATCGTCCGCGGCCGCATCGACGATGAGTATCGCCGCGAGTCAGTCGATGATGGCCGCCGCGCGGGGAACGCCGCAGATCCAGACGATCGGGTCGGCGCTGCATGCGCTGCTGCCGAATCTGTTTCCCAGTCGCAGGACGCCCGTGCTGGCGAAGCCGGTGCTCCATGGGGCGGCGGTGCCGATGGCGGCGCCGGTGGAGGAGCTGGTGCGGTGTTCGGCGTATGGCGATGGGTGGGTTTATGTTGTTGTGCGGATGATGGGGTAGGTTTGGTGGGTTGAGGGGGAGGGGAGGGGCCAAGGGGCCAAGGGGGCGTCGGCGTCTCTGGGGGAAGTTTGCTTTGCCCCTTCGGCTAGCGATGCTTTGGGAATGGCATGCAGATATCAAATGCTCCAACGAACTTGTCATCCTCGTCATGAGCGTTGGAATCTTCCTGTTCGTCCTCGGTCGTTGTCAATCGATGAAGGTCCACTAGGTACAGTAAAGCTTGTCGGAGTCACGATCTTAGCGAGGGATCTCAAGGATCTGCTCATGAAAGATGTAAAAGTGTCGACGTAGGAACCTGTATGCGTAGTTGAACCCGGTGGCATTCGACTTTCGGTACTGCACCGTTCACACGTGCTTTCAAGAGTATTAGCTACCTACCCATGCATACAGACCAATTACTTCCTTCCACATCCTCTCCATGACACGATACCCCTAATTGAACCCGTACGCAGCGAACTCAGGATTCATCCAACCCAACGGCATCTGCGTATTGAACAGCTGCCACATAAGCCAGTCGCTCGATGCGCTGTTTCCCGGATCCAGAATCCCTGAAGCCTCTTGGTTCATGCTGTGGGCCAAGAAGCTCTCTTGGGTAGAGGTATGACCTGTTTCCATGCCCCCATTCGTCGCGGCACGGTCCACTGCCGGCGTTGACGGTATGCGAACAGGTGAGGTGCCAGCAGCCACTCCCTGTGATACAGCCCCATCCCCAGCATCGTTGGTCTGGAACAGCGGCTCGCACAGGCGCGCAAGCGGCGTCAAGAGGTCGAGGAGTTTCTGGAGGTGCGGATCGTGCTTACACTGCGACAGGGTTTTGACGATGCTTTGCACCAGGTCGTAATCGGATCGGTCCAGGGAGCCGATGATGTTGCAGAAGAGAACGAAGAAGGGGCTCAATGGGTAGAACAGCAAGGTCCTTGTGCCTTTTGTATCAGTAACCGTACGCGATTTATCCATGTTTGTCGGTGTGGTACTGTACACACCATGTGAGAAACGACGGGTATGGGTCGTTGAAGCCCGGCATCTCGGCGTGGTGCTGCTGGAGATACTGGAAGGCTTCCAGCGATCGTCGCGCGCAGAGCAAGGTCTCCTTGTGGACCATCGGGCTGAAGGAGCACCGCAGTCGGGTCCGGTAGATCTCCACGAGCACGGCATAGTAGCAGAAATCGGCACCGATCCAGTCCAGCTCTATGGGTCTGTGGGTTGAGCTGCGGTTCTGCGGAGGTATACACCTGGTGTCAGTCGAATGTTGATGATGCGGGTTGCGGAAAGCCTTACGCCCTGCAAGTCTGGGAGGAGTCGTCGCATCCTGGTCTCGAGACTGTCGATGACTTCCCTGATTTGTCGATTTGATTTGCGCTTCTCGTGAGCGGGTATGGAGAGTAGTTCGCCTTGGATTTGAGCGATCTCAAGACAGGTCCGAAAGAGGGAGCCGTATGGTAGCGAGGAGTCGAAGCCGACGAGATCTGTTGGAGGAACCAGAAGGTCCGGAAGGGACGTGGGTCGGCCCATAAGGGAACTAAGTGACTTGTCGAGGAAAAAACACCACAGCAACGCGTTGTGGATATCTTTCTGCACCGCGGAGGGTGAGGGGCTGTCTTGAGTCCTGTGGTAGCCGAGCGCTGTGATTTGACGAGCGCAATACGAGTTGAGTATCCAACACTGGTTGACTCGACCCAGATGTTGCATCAGCAGGGCCTATATGCGAAGCACGTTAACAATTTTGCGTGGCACCTTTGGCCTGCGCACACGACTCACGCTAGACAGTAGAGCCTGTATGAAAAGAAGGCTTGGAGGAGCGAGGATGTCGAGTTTGTGAATGCTCTGCACTGCTGCAGCTATGTAGGTGGAGGCGGATTGAAAGAGCCGCCGTTTGAGCGTGGAGCTGCTAGTGCTTCTGGCCAAGTTGAAGAAGTGGAATATTGCCTTAACGTAAATGCAGACGCAGAGTCGGTGGAACACCTGGCCCTTGCAGTTCTCATCAAGTACTTCCGCAGCCATTCTTTCAAAAGACTCTTCTGAGATGTGGTCGGGCCACTGATAACCTTCCCTACTTGTTGACCCTGGAGACAGTCAGTTGATAATGGTGTACGATGAGACAGACTATAGTTACCAGGAAGCAGCATGAAGATCAGCTCTTGCGGCGGGGCCTCTGGGACCGCAATGCTGGGATCTACAGAGAACCCCTCCTCGGCAGATGTGCTTGATTCCACAGGCGCCGCGTCCGCCATCTGACTGACTAGATCGAGCGCGGCCTTGAGAACAGACTGCTGTTCATGGCTGATATGTCGACAGTCATCGAGTACCACTTCAATGATACTTCTGGCTTGCACCGCGTGATAGTTCGAGCTGTCGGTGCCAGCAGGCGAATTGAGGTCACCACGGGAGGTCTGGTCATGTTCGCCCGGCATGTCAGCTCGTGGCTGCTTGGAGGGTCTCCTTTCCTCTGATCTTGTCTCCAGGCTCGCTTCTAGGTTTATTTGTCTAGCCCTATTCACTGGTCAGCCGGCTGGGATGAGGGCAAGAGTCTGGGGAAGAGCTTGCACCCTTGAGGCTGAGTTACGGGTCTTTCCAGGCGAAGTATTGTTTCCGCTGGTCCAGTGGCACTAGTGAATAGTGACTTAGCGGTGACCGTGGTAGTAATTGTGGGCCACCGAGGTTGCGAACCTTGTGAAAGATCGCTTCCGCGATGTCCTTCCGCGACGAAGACGTCGGCACTCAACACCGACGTCTAGGCAGTTCGAGCAGTTTCTCTGTCTATTACATCTAATCTGCCGACTGTGTGAGTACACTATGGATGGTTAGGTATATAGTGCCAGACCAAACCTTTTTAGAATGGCATAGATCGCACTAAGACATTGCGTCAGCCCAAAAGTCTAGACCGATGCGCGAGAAAATGGGGCCAGGAAGTAGGGGGGAATGTAGAAAACATACTGCGGGCAGTATATCATCGAAGACTGCAAAGCTCTGTGACATTGCGATTCATATTCCTTCGCCCATATAAGGCCGATTGGATTGATGAGAGTGGTTGTGTAAGATGAAAAGAAGCAACTCGGAACTTGGAAGCCGCGCGAATTGGGCGGAATGGGAGAAACCTTTGCGCGGCTGACCAATGACAAAAAAGTCTTATAAAAGGTCATGCCTTATTTTATTCATATCAAATAATAATAAATGTAGAAGCTGATCGTGGATATAATATCCGAAAGGGAACAATATTTTATTACATAGCTAATGTTCTATATGAGCATTGAGAAGAGTTCATGTAGCTGTGATCAGTACGTACAGTACAACTTGGAAGTCAGTGATCCCCCAGTGGTCCCCCTGATAGCCCAGGCGATTGCCTACAGTACAGTACCAAATCACCCCCTCCTTCTCCAACTGCCTCACCAACTCTTTAGGGAGTTTTGTCCACTGGCTATACCTACAATCGCCCGATCAGGATCAAGAGATTAAAAATGACAGATACGAAAAGAAAAAGAAAGAAAAGAAAAGGAAAAAAAACAACAAAATAATCTCTCCTACTCCCCCCCTCCCACCGCAATTTTGCGTATTATGAATATGACCCCCATGCAACCTACAAACCTCAACACCTCGGACTGACCCGACCACTCCTCGTCGTTCCAGAGCAGTAACTCCCCCTCCTCCAGCGCCCCGCACATGAAGCTCCGCAGCGCTGCCGGCCGTCGAGTTGGATCAGATGAACGCAAGAGCAGAGCATGCTATGTCGACGATAACACAAAGGGGAGAACTAACGGAGATGGGAGGAGGAGGAGGAGGAGGAGGAGGAGCAACACTCTCGACTCCCACGGAATGCTCATGGAACGTCTTGCCAGAGGAGAATTTGCACGGAGTCGATCCCACCCTTCCGACCTTTGATCTTGAAGAATGGTTTGCCTCTGCAGCGTTTTTGAATTCGAACCTCTTTTTAGATGATAGCGTTCTCGTACAGGGGCCTGGATGATACAGTCCACGGGTGGTCGTTCAAGTGGTGAGATCGCAGCATAGCCGAGAAGCTACCATCAGGTCCAGAAATGAACCAGACTTACCTAGACTGCTCACTCCGATGCCAAACAAACCCCCCGCTGTCGCAAGAGCCTGTCTCACCAGCCCGGTCCCGCAGCCGGCGTCCAGTACCACCGGCCCGGTGATGGCGCTATTGGAGAATCGCATCACCGCCTGGGCTACAATCCTCCGGGCGACAAAGACGTGCGCTTCGTCCCCAAGCTCCTCATTGTAGGGGGCCACCCATTTATCGTAAGTCTCCGTGCATTGGAATACACTGAGACAGTCGCGGGTTTCACGGAGCCAGCCCGGTACCCGGACATCACTGCCCTGGAGTTTCAGAGTTGGAGGAACAGTATCGTCTATAATCTCGACAAGGAGCAGTATCCCAACGGGACGCAGGGCTTGACTGTGTTTGCTGAGGTTCAAGCCTGAATCCTATGAGATCTTGGAACGAAGGGTCGTGCAGCATGTTTCCGTTATGCCCGCGAGCTCGAGACAGGTGGCGCGATTCGTTATCAGCAGCGAAATCACGAGTTCGGGTACCATATAGCTTGTTCTTTACATACTCATTCCATGGGTTTTCACGCTCTTGCTTGTTTGTTTCACTAGTCAGTTGACAAGGGACAAGCACATGTCAATCAAACAGGCTTATAATAGTTTCTTCTTGTAATCCTGTAAGCGAAAACGAACGGTTTCACCGCGTCATGCGGGGAGTCAGTCCACGAGTACACTCGACAGGGGGCTCCTTCGCAATGCGTCTTTTTCATTGATATTGGATGAGGCAATAACGCTTCTCTTCGAACTAGCTTGAACAATGGGCGGTGCTAGGGCCGCGGCACACGCACAGTAGCAGGTCTGCATGGAGCTGGATTTGGCTAGTCATTGAATCGTTGGAGAAATGATTCATCGGAACCCAGACGAGCATGCTTGTTCTTGTCTGGGTTTGGTAAAGACTAGGGCATACATCGAAGGACCTAGAACGGTTCCACTCATAAATAGCCCGGCAAGGTTTCCTCGAGTCCAGCCTGATGAACTTCATATTGGAAAGTGAAAATGATATCAGGCATTTCGTGAACCCTGACAGTTCATGATGTGGACGAGGATGGATGCTGGATTTTGACTCTAGTACGTGAGGCTATCGGCGGAACTAGCTAGGGCCACCGAGATAGGCCTCAGGACTGCCGTCAGTTCTCTTCACTTGACTTACAGGTTGACTTTCAGTCTACCCGTACAGCTCCAAAATCATTAAAATGTTATGTACTTCTTCTATGCTTTTCGTCTCCGGGAACGCCTCCCTCTTTCACAGTCGCAGCTACCATTTGGTCCTCCAATCCCACCCCTTGATCTTGATCCTCACCCAGACAAAACATAAAAAGGCAACGACATAGTTCAGCCCGGCGAATAGCGCGGTACCCCAATACCTTTCCTTGCCCGTGGCTGTCACGGCGCTCAGGAGGCCCACGCCGATCGGAAGGCTCGCCAGCACCCCAATGGCCACCACAGTGAAGCAGCTCGCGTAGTATCGTCCGTACTCCTGCGTATCGCAGAGCTGGCCCAGACAAATGGGGGTCAGGCTCACATTGGAGCCGCTGCAGAAGCCGAACAGGACGACAAAGACGATGGGCAAGGCGTCGTTCTCGAGATCCGAGACAACGATGTCCGGCAGCCAGAAGCATAGCACGGAGACCGTGCAGAAGACCAGCGAGACGGTCATCGTATTGTACCGGCCGAAGCGATCCGCCAGATCGCCCGCCACATACCGGCCGCCGCAGGAGGCCGCGTTCAGAATGGCGAGAAGCTGATACGCGAACGCGGCCGACCCGGTCAGCGCCTCCTCCTGGGACAGGCGCTGTCCGTCGATGTAATAGCTCGGCACGTACGTGATGGGGAGGAAGTAGGCCAGATCGGTGAAGAGGACCCCGAAGGTGGTGAGGGACATGGCTCCGGTTCCATCGAGGAAAATGGACGGGTCCGGAAGTGTGTCGCGCCAGGTGGTTTCTGCGCCCTTGCGCGGTGGCACCCGGCTACGGCAAAAAGCCACGCTGATGGCACACAGCACGAGCAGGACAAAGGCAAGAATGCGGATCGACCACCCCCAGCCAACTCGGGGCAGGAGGGATTGCAGCATCAGCGGGAATATCACCCCGCCAAAACCGCTCCCCATGAATGCGACCCCACTAGCCAGGCCGCGGCGCTTCATGAACCAGTGGGCCACGCAGGCCATCGACGGCGTGAGAAGAAGGGAGGAGCCGAGGTCTGTCAGGATGGAGAATGCGAGGAAAAGCTGATAGTATTCTGCGTGCAATTGTTATCAGCGAGGACTGAAGGGCTTCAGATATGATGCTCGGACGCAATCACAACATGGCTTTACCTTTGCAAACACTGAACGAGAAGATGCCAATCAGCGTGCAAACTGTTCCTGCGAGGATCAGTGCCCGCGGGCCCGTTGCATCGAAGGTGGGACCGATTTGCATCCCACAGATCCAGTTCACAAATGCATAAACCGAGAATATCCAACCGGTTGTCGACGAGGACACATTCGGCAGAATGTTTTTGGAGACAACAGCTTCAAAGACGCCCACTGTGTTTTATAGCCCCAGCGATGCCGTCAGGCCGCAGAAGGCACCGAGTACCACGAGCCATGCGTCGCGTCCACCCTCGGGGTAATCGTTGGGATCATCAACGGGGGTGGGATTGGGTGTTGTCGACTGACGTCGCAACCCCCTGCCACCGGCGCGTTGCAGCTTCTCACGGTCGCTGGCTGGGGGCTCGTTTTTATTCGTTGGGAAAGGATCATGTTCGCGATTTCTCATTCTCTATAGAGCTTCCTCGTAGGAGGAGTCGTGCTGGTTGCCGCCGCCGTGGTAGGTGGAATGGCGAAGATTGGATACTTTTGCTGATGTTGCGATCAGTAGATTGTCTAACACCCACTGGGACTATATAGAGGGAATTAAGAGGAGCTAAGAGTTCACTGAGACTGAGAAGGGTTGCAGAAGTCATAGTGGTGGCCGCTCGATGACTCTGTCGATCTATGAACTCAAAGTGGCCAATCAACGACAGGCTTGGTATCCGACACCTCGCATTTCCGTTCAAGGTTGATGGTATGTAAGTTGGGCCGTGAACAACCTACAGGTGCTGTATAACTTACCTTATAACTGACTTTCATCCATCTTTTAAGCATTTGACCAATTGCCCATATTTTGGCAAGTGTCAATTCCAATATTGCCCGCGCTGCGAAGTTTTCATCCGGGGTCTTAGACCCAACTTTTTGATTCATGGACTCCCTCCAAGCCTTGCTAGTAATCAAACACCAACTAACTTGAGGGACACTAAACTGATCCTGTGTCTGATCCCCTAAGCTAGACCCAGTCTTAGAAGCAATCGCTGTCTCCAGGCTCTGAGACCCACCTTCCTCAGTCATTCGGACGTCCGAAGATCACGGAGTACTGTTCAGGTAAGGTACCCCCAATCAAAGCAGTTCTCAACTATGCTCATGCCTCTCCAGGCTATATCTCTAAAGTACCCTTTGTACGATGCTAGTAACAGAAATCACCAAGGAATCTCCTCCCCACGATAAATCTCTGAACCCTCCACATGAATATTCCTAAACGTCCCGTTCGACTTCTCATCCGCCGCCACAATCACCTCCAGCACAGCCTTTGCGCCCTGGGAAACGGTGAGGTCAGCCCCACTGCCCCCCATATCGGTTTGCAGCCACTTTTGCCGCCACCCCGCCATATTAGCCTTGCGCCCGCCAACGAGAAAGGGACGCTGGAAAACTCACCCCCGGATGCACCGCCATGAACACGAACCCGTCCGCCTCGTAGGACAGAGCATACTGCACCGTCAACGCATTCAGCGCCGCCTTGCTGACCTTGTACGCCGGCAGTTTGGCGTAGTCGTTGGCGCGCGCGCGAGCCATCGAGCCGTACTGGCTTGAGCTACACACATGTCGTGAGAATCAGCCCCTCAAGAACAAACCGAACTAGAACGCAGCACCAGGGAAGGTGAGGGAAGCAGGGATTCGACGAACATGTTCACAACCTTTTTTACCGGCGCACCCTGCATGAGCGGCAGGTACGAGCGGGTGACAGTATGCGTGCCCGTCACGTTCACCGAGAGCGTGAAATCGAGGTCCGCCGAGGAGCTAGATATCCAGTCCTTGGGGTCAGTACGCTGGATCCAGATGTAATTGATTGACGGGAAACGAAGTCGAGGGAGAAGGAAAGGGAGACTCACACCAACCCAGCCTTCTCCTGCGTCTCCCCAATGACCCCGGCGCAATTGACCAGGATCTCGAGCTTACGATCGCCCAATACGCCCCGAACCACCTCCGCGGACCGGACGACGCTGGCCTCGTCGGTGATGTCCAGCGCGACGAACGCCACCCGGCCCTTCTCGCGCGCGATGACCTCCTCCAACGCGGGAGTGGTGTTCCGGGCGGCGGCGATGATAAGGCCGTTCTCGGGGAGGAGGGCGGCGAATTGCTGGACGAGCTCGAGGCCGAGGCCGCGGGAGCTGCCGGTGATGAGGATGGTGGACATATCTGCTTTTGAAGGGATGCGTGGGAGTGTCGATTAGTGCCGGGACGTAGGCAAGTAGTCTGTTTTCGAACGGGGATGGTATCGTAGTTATCTATGGATGTTTAGACCCGAAAGGCCGATTGGGATCTGTCAGCAAGGCTTCTACCAGTGGATCTTGTCTCAATTGATTTGTTGGCGAGTCTTGCTGTCGCGCCGGACCCATCCGTCCACTTGGGACCCTTTTTCCGCTGGCAAAAAGAGCTTCCCGAGGGTTCCGAATCCCGAACTTGTCTTTCCGGACGGGATTGATCTAGAGACACTATACTACACTATGTAGCGATGTTTGCTTGTAACTGTGATAAATGTACCATGATAGAGGTACAGCCCCTTAAAAAGGGGGGGGGACTTTCACAGTCTTCACAAAGAGTTCTTCTGAGTCTAACTCATGCTTAGCGTCTCCTTCGACAAGGATTAGACTCCTGGATAGGCTTTGAACCGGGCCATCGGAACTAAATTTACATGCCGAACTCCCTCCGGGCCGTGGGCCACCTTTCCCAAGTAGTTCGGATCTCCGCACAGTACTTGGGACAGTATACCTCACACATTATCTAGCACGTGGAATTGCTGCCCCCAGTGGAGGTCCAATGATCACTGAGAGAGCAAAACAGAACGAATCCCCAAGATCAGCCCAGTCATTATTCTTAAAGATGCCATAATAGCACTAAAAATACAGTCCATCCCAGAAATGCTCCTCCACAAACCTTCAGCAACCCCCGCCTTTGCTCTAACCAAATGAGTGCCGCTCACTCACTCCACCGCATGCTCCGTCCCCTTCTCCCCAAGCTCCCCCTCGCCCATCGACTCCGAGTTCCGTCTAGAGCTCACACATCAGCCCCTCCCCAATCCAACTTTCCACCAACAATTTTGTCCGTGACCGGAAGGAAAGAGTCAACCATACCGCGCATTAAACTCCTGAATCATACTCGCCATATTCCCCGCCCCGCTCGATCGCCGATCCGGGTGATCGTTCGCCGCGCCCCCGAAACTGCCCAACAGCTCGTTGATTCCTGCGACGATATCCAGGGTCAGTCAGTCAGCATCAATGAGATTCCCACCACATCTCATGGAGATACTCGGGATGAACTGCGGGCTGAGCACGTACGCTGCTGATCCTGGTGTCTCTCCGCCTCGGCCAGTTCGCGCTGCGCGGAGCTCTTGCGGCGGTCGCGCTTGAGGTGGCCGTATTTCTGGACGAGGTCCATGTTGCTATATCTTCTGTACTTGGGGGCAAAAGAAAAGAAATAGTTGTGGTGGTGTCTTTGATAGAAGGAGATTTGTTTCAGGTGGCAATCATTCAAGTAATAACCTCACCAGCAGGGAGCAGGACAGATTACGAGTGCTCTATATACCAACCCGACGAAGGTCATTGCATCATCGCAGTCCACCAACCTTCCAATCATCATCATCATCATATGATTTTCCATCGACACGGCACCAGTGCAGTGCCAATAACATGATCTCGTATCGAGATCTGCTTTGACAATGTGGTTGGGTTGGGGGAATAGGCTGTTTTTCGCCTCCTCAGTACCAAGAATCATGCGTCATCGTGGCTGTGTGTGGTTTGAACTCAGTATGCTCCCGTACTCCATCGGGGTTGCGTTCCGCTTGCAAAAGCCAAGCGTCCGCCCCCCCAAATCCTCAACGATCGACGGGAAGTGATGCCTGGATGACATTACTCCACTTGGCGTGAGGACCCCGGATTTTTAGCTGATTGGGGGATTCGATCGTTATGTTCTGGACACGAACTGTAATCGTATTGTGCGAAGCATAATTCCTGAGTTGTGCGGGGATCGCATCCGGAAACAGATACGGCTTTCGCCACTCTGCCGCAGCTTGTTTGGCTCGAACCCGGGGTGGGGGGGGGGGGGGGGGGGGGGGGGGGGGGGGGGGGGGGGGGGGGGGGGGGGGGGAGGGAAGGTGAAGAGGGCATTGTGCAACCAGGAATGCTTCGGAGTGCGTATTCGGAGCTATCTACACACACGGGAGCAATTATACTCTACTTCCGTCCGCCTCTGGTTTGGATTACTGCTAAATACCGGGTGAGAAGCACAGCCACCCCTACTCGAACCGCTGCAACTCGGCTATCACGTCCACCAGCGACGCCGTCTTCGATCCCTGGGACGGCCGGTTCGCGTCCTCCCCGAGAGGAATGTAAAATGCCTTCCAGCCGGCCTCGATCGCCGCGCGATAGTCCTTGTTGTAGTCGTCGCCCACGTGCACGCACGTCCATCCGCTTTCATCGCTGCCATCCTCACTCGCGCCCAGCAGCTTCATGGCTTGGCGCCGGGCCACCTCGAAGATGACGGCGCTGGGCTTCTCCGCGCCCGCCTCGTAGCTGGTGATCACCATATCCAGGTCGTAGATCTCCCCGTCGCCCGCTTCATTGTTGACCCGGGCTTCATCGCGCCCCCGCATCTCGAACCCCGGCAGTCGTGTGCTCGAGACATCCTGGTCGGCCCGGCACATCCCCACCCGCAAACCCAGCGACTCCAGCACGGCCGGCACCCGGTCATCGGAGTTGGACACCACGCCGACGACGACGCGGTCGAACGGGCCCAGCCGCGTCCCGGTGCGTTTCATGTGGCGGAGCCGCGTGAAGAACGCGTCGGCGCTGGCGTCGAGGGCGTAGCCGTCCTGGCATGCGAAGCGGTCGAGGAGGTGTTGGACGAGGCCGTCGGGTACTGTGCTGTTTGTGGGAGTGGGGGACGAGGAGTCGGCGGCAGCGGTGGCGGCGGTAGAGCTAGGGGCATCTAGAACGCGGGCGAAGCTGCCCCGGATCACCTCTTCCCACCATTGTCTCGGCCCGCCGTACTCGCCGCGCAGAGCTTGAGCGCGACCGTAGTTGGGGTGGGCTTTGGCTTGGGCTTTGAAGACGGCCTTGAAGGCGGATTGCAGGCGGTCCGGGGTGACGGTGGAGCGAGGGAGGCCGAATTTGTGCGCGGCGGACGCGTATTGCTGGGGGACGGGTTCGCGGGGGTGGAAGATGGTGCCAAACGCATCGATCGTGAGGAGGAGAGTGCGCGACTTGCCGGGGGTGGGGTGGGGAGGCATGGCTCGTAAGGCTGGAGTCAGTAGTGTGTTGATGAAGATGGCCTTGGGCTTGGTTTGGGTCGGAGCGGCGAATGACGGAAGAGGATCTCGGGTTTAGTGCTTCGGTCTTCGGGCATACTTCCGGTTTATCGGGGATTAGTACTGGTTCGGGCGACTGAGTCCGCAATGATCTCGGCGATAAGATTAGATGGAAGTTCCTTTTTTTCTCTTCCCACGGCTTATCTGCGGTTTGTTGCACTCAAGCTTTGTTTCAGTTCGTTTGACAATATCGGAATTGTAGAGAGAAACCGTTGGAGGACCGGATCATATCGAACTCAGCTTTGGTACCACTTCACCATGCAGTGTCCCTTGCTGCAGGCCAGGAACACCAGGGCCTCGTTCCACAAGGCCTGCAAGATAAAGGATTGTACGCCGTAAAAGTTGTCGCCTGAGCGCTGACGCGTCAGACCGACCATCCCCCACTAGGAAGTCCCCAATCGGGTTTTCCAGGCAAAGGTTGCCTCCTATTCTTTTTCCGCGGCGCCGGCACTTGCCTGGCATACATATATCAAGTCACCCACTCATCTCCATTAACCCGATCTTATCGTAGTCATCACCCCCTACACCCAGACACCACCATGGGTGTCTCCCGCCTGCTTGTATCGTCCCTACTATGGGTAGCGAGCACCTGCGCTATCAGCGCCAGCGCCACCACCACCACCACCACTGAGTTCTCCCCTAATGCAAACCACATCTTCAACTCCATCCACTCGTCGATGCGCCAATGGGGCTCTTCCCTGCAGCACAACGGCATGTCCTTCTTCCTGGCGACCGTCCCCGCCGGCACGCAGTTTTACCATGGCAACGCCAACCCCGCGCCGGTGAACGGGACGGAGTGGCTGGCGTTTGAGCCCGAGCATGCGCTGGTCTTTGCGCGGCCGGGCCCGTTCAAGAATCCGCCACCGCCTCCTCACGACGGCGACGACGACGACGATGACGGAAAAAAGGGAGATCTGCGGAAAGAGAAGCGGGCAGCGGCCGAGCAACAGGAATCGGAAGGCGGTTGGCTGCACACCTACACCGCCGCCAAGGACCTTCGGCTGCTGTACGCGGACGGCATGGCAGCAGGGAAAACCGCCAACGGGACGCTCGACGGCGAGGACCGGATTCTGTTCCAGGATAACCTGCCCAGCGATGGGGCGATGCACGGTGAGCGCGCGCGCGCGGTTGAGTTCTGCCGCATGGCCCGCGAGGACTTCGACGGACGGTTGGACGGTTTCCTGCGCATGGAGGCCGGGTTTGAGATCATCCTCTGTGACTTCGCGCGGGATCTGAAGGAGGTGCGTGTCACGCAGGTCAAATCGAACAAAAAGTCTTCTGGGAGCCCGGGAGGACCGGGTAAAGGGAAGGGCAGCGGAAAGGGGAAACCTGGAAAAGGGGCCGGGGGGCCCGGGGGAGGCGCGGATTGGATGAAGGCGATCACGGCCCGGTACGGCGGCATCGGCGGCCACCGCGTCGCGCTGAACTACGAGACGTTCGTGTCCGCCTACACCTACGGCCTGGACCTGTTCCACTCGACGAACGAGACCTTCGCGCATCCCCGTCTGATGCACCTCTCCGCGCAGCAGCTGCGGCCCATCCGCGACGACCTGCACCGTCTCGTCCTGGACCACACCGCCGCCGAGAATCTGTACGACTGGCAGGCGATCGCCGACATGGTCGTGGAGCGCTACGCGCGCGAGATCCGCTACCTCGCGTCCGGGGCCGTGGCCACGGTGGCCGACCTGCATGCGGAGATCGAGACCATGCTGGTCCCGTTCATCGACTACGCGGACCGCGATACCGACGCCGAGCGCGAACGCTGCGCGCACCAGTTCCTCCCCGGCGAGATCGCCGTCGATGGCGTCGCGGCCACTGCCATCCACTCCGTGGCCCGCAGCATCTGTGCGACCATGCTGGCCGCCTGGCAGGAGCCCGACTACCAAGCCGCCGTGGACCACTTCCGGGAGCTGATGAACTACCTGGCCTGGACGACGTGGAAGCAGTGCAGTGGCTGCGGCGACCACGAGGTCTGCGTCGTCCCCATCTGGCCCATGGGCACCCTCGAGGACTATGAGCACCCGCAGTGTCGCGATTTCTCGAACCCCGTCAGCCCCGGCCAGAGCTACTGGGGCGACCGCCGAGGGCCTCGACCGCATGATCCGGAGGATGAGGATGGGCAGGCATCGGGCTGGTTGGTGCGATTTGTCCGGTATGTGCTTGAGATCTTTCTGCGCATGCATATTTGAGGAGGCAGTGTTGGGTCTTGGCTAGAGCATTCTGTTTTTTTTTTTTTTTGTCTTTTCTTTTTACAACCCCATAAATCACTACGCCACAAACTATGCGGACCGTTTATGTGTGAACCGCTTCCTTGTTTAATGAATATCTTGTCTAGACGCGCCTTCCGTTCTAGAGTAAGAGGCTTTGTATCGACACGCTGTGTAGCCCGTTGAGCTGTTTGAGGCTCATTTGGCAAAGAGAGTACAGGATAATTGCGAGACGCAAGCTGCATCCTGTATTGCGCCTACATTTGCTTTTTCCAAAACAGAAAGCGCTAGACGGTGCGCTGTGCTCTACCACAGCACTTGCATGGGCTTATACCCGCTTATCGCTACCTAGAGCATGGGCTTATACCCGCTTATCGCTACCTAGAGCATGGGCTCTGCATAGTGCTCAGTGGGAATAAAGGCCGATCAGTGGGGCCCAGCCTCGGTGCGCCAAAAGACACATCTACACTCCAGAGTATAACATTAGCCAGCTGACTGTATAATACTCGATCAGGTACGAGCCCCTATGATCTTTCACAGGCACGACATACACCAAGCAAGCAGCACGTAGCCTAAAGTGACATCTCTTTTCGGAATAAAAAACAGAAAAAAAACCAAGAAAAACAATTTGAGCAGGCATTCATGATCACACTGGCTGGCCGACTACGTAGTATACATTTGGAACTGACAGGATCCCAATCCCATGAAATGCACCGATCCGCTCCATCGCGGACAAGGTTAAAAATTCTCGGACTTTTCGTGTCGCAAGCGAAAAAGAACCAGTATCCCAAGGGGGAGCAGTGACAACCAACCCAATGGATACATGCCTCCTCACACATTCAACTGCCTCGTCATCTCGTGTCTATCGAGGACTGGCGGTCTATGCTTGTATAAGTCCTCTATATATCCCGCCTATGAGAAGAATCTAGTACATACAACCATGGGATGTGGATGATAGGGCTTCCTATCCGCTCAGCTGTGCTTAAAATATGCTAGGAGGTTAGTGGTTAGATGGATAACTACTAGCAATTCATCGTTATTATATATCGATATCTATATCTCGTTTTAACTAGATAGGTCGGACATTCCCTTTATTCTATCTTTACTTCTGGTCACTTATTTTTCTAGTTTATTGATAATATGGTTTTCGTAAACGACTTCTTTTTTATTTTAGCTGATATAGTTCTATAGGATAGTTCCTTGACTCAAAATCATCTCAGACCAAAATGAATTTCTTAATATAATTGAAACCTACCTATATTATGTTGAAGATGATGACGGCAATTGCAAGTAGGGGACTGGTAAATATGATATGCAGAGTTCCTCTATCTCTAACGTCTATGTGCATTCATTCCTGACGGACTTGGAGCCTCGTCAAGGCCGGATTTGACCGGCGTCTGGAGCTATGTTTTGATCCCTCGTGGCGCGTGGCTTCGAGTTCTCTGCGAGATTACGGCAACTAAAAGGGGGAAGCAAAGATGATCAATGTAATGGTGTGAAGCTACGCGAACAGGAAGAATAGGAGAAGAGGGTGAGCCCGAAGTGCTATCTCTGATGTAAGGCCATAGCAAAATCAAATGATAGTTTCAGTGATGAATTTGTCAAGGAATCACAACCAGCGACTCTAGAAATGGGTACACAAAGTAACCGCCAGACGTGCTATCATGTCGAGCTTGTCTTGGGCAGACTTACTGTCGAAATCTTGCATCTGGTTCTGAAAGACCGACCAGACTTTGAGATAACGTTCGTTCGTTTTGCCGATATTCTCAAATGCCTGTCTCATCTTATCGTGCGTTTTCAGCTGATTGAAGTGTTCCAACGCCAACGCGTGTTGATCTTCGCTCCCCTCTTCTCTCATCATTCGAATTTGAGCACAGTATAGAATCAGGGCCGCCAGCCCGGCTGCAAGAGCGGTAGCAATTGAGGAGCCGGTAAAATATTCGACTTTGGTGTCGAGTAAATCAGGACTTTGTTCTCCTTCCACCAATTCTCCGGGCAAAAGATAGTCTACGGCAGCTATGTCTCCCACTCTGGAGTTGGGCTGGCCATCTGGAGTAGCTGCCCCGATGGTAAAGATGGATTTGATCCGTTTGGATGGGTAGGTGCCACATTGATGGGCCCCTTTGTCGCTTGCTGAGCAGAACATGAGAATCCCCTTCGTCTGTGCCTCTCCGATGGCCGCTTCAAGATCTTCGAAATCGCTGGACAAAGGCCTCGGGGGCACAACGATGGTCCAAGACATGGAGATAATGTGAACCCCCTTTTTCACAGCTTGACGGATAGCCTTCTACAAGTTAGTATCTCTCCAGGGTTTCAAATTCGAACTGAGCTGCAAAGCTTACCCGAGCGGCGCTGTTGGCCGTAATCCGTCGCTGTCTCTCTGAGTCCCATTGGTCGTGCAGTTTTAGCACGTACAATTCAGCCCAAGGACAAATGCGATGGATCTGACTAGCCATGATTGTTCCATGTCCCCCACTTGAAATATAGTGCGGAATGCTTCGCTTCTCGTTGTCAGGTTGAGGGCAAAAGCTGTATCCTTCAATCATTCTGCTATTGTTCGTGAGCAGGTCGTCTCGTTCGATATCAACACCATCATCAATGAGTGCCACCAGGATAGACCCTCCTTTCTCCCGTACCCTGTCCGATAATGGAGGCTTCATGGCATTCTCAAGGTTGTATAGACAGGTCTTGAACTCAGTCATGACTTGTATCCATTCATGCTTTGGTCGCACATCGACTGGGGCGGTGAGGGCTGGCGCCATAGAGCCCTTGCCTGTGCTTCTTTGTGGATAGACATGTTCCACATCAACACTGACCAATCGCTGAATCATTCTACTTGCGATTTCCCTGGAAATGCCATTCAAGCCTTCGTTTCCTTTTTCCGAAACCTTGGCTTTGATCATATCCGTAGTTGTACCTTGTTTAATATCTCCAGCTATCTCAGAGGCAATTTCTTTGGCCAGATTCTTCGCTTTCTCCGTTGCCTGATCGTCTATGTTGTGCGAATGAGTTCCCTTCAGCACGGGATCATTCATAGAACTTGCCATTTGGACTTCCAGGTTCTCTGCAAATTTATCAGCAATAGCTTCGGTGAATCTGTCGACGTCTTGTTTGTTCTGTGTTTTTTGCTGGAGCTTCTTCTTGATCACTGAACGTATTGCCCCGCGAATCTCATCTGCCTTCTCTCTGACCATGGTTTTCTTTCTTATCTTGATAACATTGTTTGTGAGGCGCTGTTTGAACTCGGCCTCGTTATCGTTGATGCGCGATCTGAGGTCATTCTCCTAAGAGAAAAAGAAAAGATCATAAAAGCCATGATTAGAAAAGAACAATGGTTGGTAAAGCATTTCTCAGACTCCACACACCTGTAGGATATGTAGCGTAATTTGTTTAAGATTGTTCAACTGTGGTATGCCTTTCTTCTCGCTCCAGCCTCGGAGAACTGCATTTTTTCCACTCCAGTACAGATGCAACTTTGTGACATCTGGCGCGGCGCAACGAATAACCTCAGAGCATATATCAATCTTTTTCCAGTTCCAAACCTCCACTCCTCTGTTAGAAAGAATGGATTCAATGCAGTCGTCGCTCTGTGCGGGCTCTTTCAGGTCGTCCACGATGATCTCTAGTATCTTCTTGACACCGACTAACAATTTGAACACTTCTATCATGTCTGTTCGTCCACCATGGCTTTGTATGGTCTGTCGCTTCTTTAAGCTTGTCTTGGAGGTCACGCTTGCTTGGGCATCTTCAGTCTTGGTGATTTGCGGCAAGGCAACAAACTGGAGAGTGTCCTCAAATTTCAGACACGATGTTATTCGCCGGATACCCTTGTGTGTCAAGTTTGACTTTTCCATGAGATCAAGGAATAGAGTCTTTGCTGAATCTTTCCCTATATTCACACATGCTGTCAGACGTGGTTCTTGTGTCGGAGGGATATTCCTACCTGCGGGCGGGTACAGAATCTCCATCGCTTCATCGTGGCTTCTTGTTCGCAAGTAGTGCACTTTTAGAAGCCGCTGGATATCTTCAAATGCTACTGATTGTGCCTTCGTGACCTGGGATTCCTCTCCGTCTCTCCTTATGTCCGATATGGAACTTGCAGTGGGCACAATTTCCAGGGTCACCGGAGTATGTGGCCAGAAGGGCGTGTGTCTATATATGTATAGGGTGGGGGGTTGCATCGGGTTAGGGCTGCCACATTGGCTTGAAGGGAATGGATAACAGGAACAACGCACCGTCTCATCTTGGTCGCGCGCACTCAGCAGAACTCCCGGCCAGCTAATCACCAAAACCAAAATGACTAGTCAGCAACATGAATCGAGCCTTCAAATCCAGAACCTTAGCCCCCCCGCGATGGTTGCTGCCTGGCTGGCGGTCCGGAAATCTGCAGCGTCCGGGTCCTCCGCCGCGGCACGGCGCAGCTCCGGCACGAACTGCGTCTCCAAGTGCATGTCGCAGACGGTGGTCACTCCGAAGCCCGGATACTGCCGCAGCGGCGCGGTCTGTCGCCACACATGAACGTGGCCATCTATGAAACCGGGAAATAGCGTGTGACCTGAGCAAGAAAGGACTATGGTGGAGGCATTGGGCGGTTGCATCTCAGCCTGATCTGACACGGCCGTGATAATCCCATTCTCCACCAGAACACTCCCCAGAGAGATCTCCATCCGCCCGGTGAAGATGCGGACGTGACAGAATAGGAAGGCCGGTGCAGCCATGATTAGGTTTAGAATGCCACCAGGCCATCGAGGGTATGGACGCCGCTACGACATGCTTTGCATTTATGAAAGTCTTGCACCGGACATGAGAGTCAGACTCAGTTTGTCCTACCATCATGACTTCCCTGCATCGCTAGACCAAGAAATGAAGCCTCGATATCTCTCGATATCTGCCATGAATAAGCCTAAGCGCCGCTTACCAAAGCGGTGGACTGAGAAAGAGGACCAGACTCTGTACAAGGAGGCAAGGTGTCAAAGTATGTGATGGCACCAGATTTTACTGGGGGCCTAACCGTCTGCTCATCCGCTCAACCGTGAGTACCGGCGAGACCAAGGATTGGAATCGAATCGCCGCCGAACTGCCGGGCCGGACCAACAAAGACTGCCGGAAACGTTGGATTAACAAGGTGTGTGGATCGCTGAAGAAAGGCGCGTGGGAGCCCGACGAGGACTAGCGTCTCCGTGATGCGATTTGCATTCATGGCCAGAAGTATGTGGCTGAGCTTGCCCCCACAGTCCCCACCTGACGGTTCCAGCCCGCTAAGGATGTTTCTATAGGTGGTCGGCCATGATGGTGACCACATCGTGGGCAGGCTGTCGTGTGGGGTTTTCGAGATGCATGATCGTGTCCAGGGGTCCTTGATGAAAGAGAATTTCAATAAGCGAACGCGCAGCACGGTCGACAGGGAGCCAAGACAGGGACTGTGAGGAGAATATCAGTTGTGCAATGGGGACAGACAGTAGGGGGAAAGTCACGGAAGTCGACCTACCCCTTCGAGATGTGAAAATGCCCCCTTGTGATAACATGCCTGGACCAGGGCTGGAATGTGCTCGCCAACCTTCCAGGCGCCGCTTGATCGTTCAGGGCCGCTCAGCTGCCCAATGCGCAAAGCCACGGCTTCAATCTCACTGGAATATTGATCTGCCGCCCTTGTCAGAAGCTTCTCACATACCCATTTTGCCTCCGCGTAGCCCATCCGTGTGACCGTCTCCGGGTCCAAATTGGGAGTCTCTGGCACTGTAAATGGAAATTTGTTCTTGCAGTAACGGAGGACAGCGATCGAGGAGGATAGCAGCATTCGAACTTTGGACTGGGACGGGTGCAACGCGTGCGCACGTCGGGCCAGGTGGATTAGGGCTGCGACCAGCTCAATATGTGGGCGGAAGCTGAATAGAGTGCGATGGGTCGTCTTCTCCATCAGCCTCCCCCTTGGAAGGGAGAGCGCGGAATGCGGCACGTTTGAAGGTAGAGCGTGGGACTTTCGTCATCCTGTTCGTAGTCTGCAATCGTGCAAGAGTCAGATGCACACGTAGAAGATATCCGCAACGTTCAAGTATCGTTTGGGGAGCTGAACTGGGAAGCGAGGACCAGAGTATGTGATCGCAAGGGAATGGAATGAAGCCCAGTCCAAAGGACCGGATGATGAATCTCATCAAGTGCCCCGTTCCCTTTTCATATCAGCCGCCGTGTCAGGGTTACAAATGGTATGCCCTGATTTCTCTGATGCTTGACCGCGAATACATGATTGACTCAATCCCCGATAATGTCACCTCTAATTACTGGCGATGTATTACTGTTTGCGGGGCAAGGGTCGATGAAACATGCAATTCATCCTGCAGGGAAGAATCCACTGATTCAACTTCTATCAGAATCGGCGAAAAGTGCATTTTATTCTTACCTGAGTCGGTGCGAAGGGGCCTTCCTTGAGGAGCTGCAGGCCCTGAACCTGGAAGAGCAGTCCATCCTTGGCCGATTACAGGACGCTTTGAACCACTCCGAAGCGTTGATCCAACCCTCCCAGGAGTTCCAGTCGCACCCTGTGCTGCAGAATATCACTCTCTACGGCCGTCAAATTTTAGAGCTCGTTCTCTTCCAATCGGTACATGGCACCCACCGAATTCTGAGGTTGATGGTGTGTGCACCGGACTCGTTGCGGCTATTCTTGCAGCATCGTTCTGGTCATTCAGCTCGGAGGATTTCATTGATGCGGCTGTCGAGGGGTTTCGTCTCGCCTTTTGGATCGGAGTCCGGGCATCTCTCCACTGCCACCAGCAGTTGGGGTCAAACTGGAGGTCCAGGCCGTGTGTGATGAGTATCTTCGACTACCCGTTGGAGAGCATAGAAGAGAAACTTTCATCGTACAATGAGCAGGTATGTTAGAAACGCCACTACGAGTCTGAGGTCAGCCAAACTGATAAGACGATCTCCAAGGCCACACAGCATGAAAGGCCCGAAGTCCGGGTTACCGCCATTTTCCATGACAGCATATCGGTGAGCGGGGATGGCGTCACGCTGGAGGGATTCAATGGGTTGCTTGCTCGAGAGTCGATTCAATGTCGATGGGCAAATGTTCACGCCATGTATCACTACGGGGAAGAGATGGACAACGTGAGGCGCGTCATTGTGCATGATGTCGAGACCAGGGGGATCACATTACCCAGTTGGAACGACCTGCACGTGCCCTTGCGATGGGCATCAGAGCCACAATTGCATTCTGTCTCCCTAGTCGAAGCAATCCTTCAGAAAATCTTTCTAGATGCGGTGGACTGGCGTGAGACAGAAGCTCACTTAGAAAGCTACTTCACTCGGTCCCTGAACCGAGACTCCGAAGCCAGATATCGTGTCCTGGGCATTGGACCAGGCTCCAAGTCCCTTATTCATGTTTCCAACAATTTACTGGCTCACCCCCGTCTGGAGGTTAGGCAAAGCTGGGTTTCATCTCTTACCGAACCCTCCATGGATGATATCGCTGTTGTTGGGACGTCCGTCAACTATCCTGGCGCAAAGGGACTCGAAGAGTTCTGGGAGTTGTTGGAGAGCGGCAGAAGCACGATGGGCCAGGTAAGAAAAGATAATCCTGGGTTGGACCACATATCAGACGTGCGCGCTGACAGTGCGGTGCAGATACCGTCAGATCGGTTTGACTTGTCCAGTCGTCAAGGAGTCCCATCTTTCGGCAATTTCATAAAAAATCCCTTCGAATTTGACGCTCCGCACTTCAATATCTCACCCCGAGAAGCGAAATCCATGGACCCCCAACAGCGACTGCTGTTGCATGCGGCGGTGGAGGCGCTCGACGACGCAGGCTACGCCCCGGGGTCCAGCCCTAGCTATCAGAAAGAGACATTCGGTGTCTACGTGGGAGTCGCGACGGGAGACTACGTCGACAACCTTCGGACCCAGCTCGATATTTACTATAGTCCCGGTAAATTTTACCCCCTCCCCCCCACCGCCGGCCATGGCTTCTTGCGTTGACCAGAGCAAGCAGGAACCTTGAGAGCGTTCTTAAGTGGTCGTATATCGTATGCATTCAAGATGAATGGCCCCTCGATTGTGATCGACACAGCGTGCTCTTCGTCGCTAGTGGCTCTACACCATGCGTGCATGGCACTGCAACGTGGTGAGTGCAGGGCAGCGCTGGCTGGGGGCGTCAACATCATTAGCAGTCCAGATGTAAGTATCAGTCCCGGTGCTGGGTGCCATCATTGATCTCGGAATAGATGTACTGTGGACTTGCTAGAGCCCATTTTCTCAGCCTCAGTGGGCAGTGTAAACCATTCGATGAAGCGGCAGATGGATATTGTCGAGCCGAGGGATGTGGAATGGTCGTCTTGAAAAAGCTTGCTGATGCAATGGAGGAGGACGACCACATCTACGGCGTCATTCGCGGCATTGGCATCAACCAGTGTGGCACGGCGAAGTCCATCACCCATCCTGATGCAGCGACCCAAGCAGCCCTCTTTCGAGACGTGCTTCGGTCCAGCCGACTCACCCCCGCAGACATTGACCTTGTAGAGGCGCACGGCACCGGGACACAAGCTGGTGACTATGCAGAAGCTTCCAGTTTGCGCGCTGTGTTTGGGTCAAGGCCATCCACCAGCCCCCGCTATCTCTGTTCATTGAAAGGTAATATCGGGCATGCGGAAGCCGCCTCTGGTGTTGCCGGACTCGCGAAGCTGTTATTGATGCTGGAAAAGCACAAGGTTCCTCCTCAGGCCTCCTTCAACAAAATCAATCCCCGCTTGCAGCCGCTCTTAGAAGATGCGTGGATTATCCCTACCAAGTTGACAGACTGGACCAAGCGCTCAGGGCCTCGCCGTGCATTACTCAATAACTTCGGTGCCGCGGGATCCAACTGCGCGCTCATCGTGGAAGAGTTCATGCAACCAACAACCTTCACCCAGCAGACGAGGTCCCACCATGTGTGTAATCTCAGTGCACGAACCGCGGAGGCCCTTGAGGCGATTCAATCTAGCTACCTCGAATGTCTCCTCAAACAGCCCGATCTGCGGCTAGAGGACTTCTGCTACACTGTCAACGCCAGACGTCAACAACAGTCCGCGTATAGAGCATCAATCATTGTCCAAAACCGCCAAGAGTTGGCTCGGGAGTTGGAACAACCTCTGGTAGCCATGAGCGACCTCGGAAAGCACAGAGAGCCTGGTAAAACTGTTTTTGTATATTCAGGGCAGGGAGCAGTCTATGCCGGAATGGGTCTTGAGCTTCTTGCCACAGTGCCCACCTTCCGCGATGCAACAAGCCGGTGTGATGCTATCTTGACCGAGAGTGGGTTCTTCCCCGTTACCCCTTTTCTCATGGGCACACAGCCAGCTTCCGGCGAAGAGGCGGTCATTATCTCTCAGTGCGCATGCTTTGTCTATGAATATGCTCTAGCCAGGATGTTTCAGGCCTGGTGTGTGAAACCAGATCTGGTGGTAGGTCACAGGTGAGCGAGCCTACATTGCCAGTGAGCTTGTTTTATGACTAATTGCAGAGACCCTCCAGTATCGGAGAGTATGCTGCCTCTGTTGAGGCTGGACAGTTAGGTCTCAGTACGGCTCTGAGCCTCTTAGCTCATCGTGCCCGACTTATGGCCCGCAAGTGTGCTCTGGGTTCAACAGGCATGGTGGCATGTCGATTACCACCTGCCACTCTCGAACAGCTGGTTTTGAACCGCCCAACGGATCTTGAGGGTCTCACTATCTGCTGCTACAATTCGCCCGATGATAGCGTGGTGGCTGGGCCCATAGGCAGTCTATCTAGGTTAACCACATACTGTCGGGAACAAGGGATTCGACACAAGATGCTCGAGGTCCCCCTCGGCTTTCACTCGTCTGCAGTGGAGCAGATCCTAGACGACTTTTCACTGCTAGTCTCGGAGGTGGTCACCAGGCCGCCCTCTATCCAGATGGGATCTAGTCTGTACGGACGAGTGCTTCAGCCCGGGGAGAGGCTGAAGCCGGGATACTTTGTGGATCATGCTCGACACCCTGTCCGGTTCAGTGCTCTGATTAGTGACATCCAAAAGTGGGCGGGCAACGAGCGCCTCACTGTGGTTGAAATTGGCCCTTCGCCCTCCAGTAAGCTCTCGATCCACTAATCCTCGCCCTGCACGATGGCTGACTGGGGTGTGCTGTTCAGCGGAACCCATGTTCAAGGTTGTCCTCGCCCCAAGGAATGGGTCATACACATTTGTGGCGAGCCAGCACCCACGACACCCTTCCTGGGCCACGCTTACCGGTGCTCTGCGAACGCTGTTCCTCCACGACTACCCTGTAAACTGGCGTGCCGTCTACGATGGAAGTTCAGCGAGGTTTGTCAGGTCCCTTCCACACACACCCCTCAGGTCCAAGCAGTATCTGCTCCCCTTCATCGAACGGCCATCTCTGAGCGTGGCGTCTGCCGGTCAGGAAGCCGAGGGGTCATCTCGACCCTGCTATGCCTTTATATCACCGAGCCGTGGAAAAGAGATTGCGGGCTTCTCGGAGCAGGTCTTTGAAACATATGCAAAGCAGATTGAACCATTTGCTGCAGCGCATTCAGTGGGAGGCGTGCCCCTATGCCCGGCCTCCGTCTACATGGAAGTTGTACTCCAAGCGCTGGCATCAACTCGAGATTCTTGTTCCGACACAACAGCATATCTGCTCAAAGACATGAAGTTCGACAAGCCACTTGTGTGTGCCTCCAGTGGCAACGAGGCGAATCCAGTCGTCATTTGCACTGAGCTGGAGGCAGCCCGTCCGCCGCAACAGCTCCAGCTCTTCTCTTGCAGATCGCCGACGAAGACTGTTTTTTGTACGGGAAGTATCAGATCTCTAGGATCCCAGCAGGCACAAGAGACCGAAGACATCTTGGTCCAAAAATTGGCGAGAGTGGAGCGAATGCGTCGAGCTATCAGTGGCGCATCCACGAGCCCCACCGAGTCATTCTCCTCAAGGACTTTCTATGAGCTCATATTTCCTCGCGTGGTTCGCTACACGGCTCCCTTCCTCACTATCCAGGATTTTAACATCTCACACGCAGATCGAGACGGCTACGGGACATTCCGTCTACCTGCCGTATCGTCCGCGCCGACAGCGCTCTTCATCTCTCCTCCTGAGCTTGTAGATACCCTTCTCCACGCGGCTGGATTTGTGGCCAACGCCGCTGTCGACTCGGACGTTGCCTGTATTTGTGTTTCTGCTCAGGAGGGGATGATCTGCCACAATTCAATCCATTTGCGGGGTCAACCTCTGCAAGTTTACTGTACTGTTGTGGATGTGGGCTACGCGTTTCTGGCTGACTCATATGCACTTGACGAGACAAATCGCGTCATTGCGTATGTGGAAGGAATACGCTTCCAAAAGATCAAGCTGTCATCGTTCCAGGCCCTCTTGTCCCGTGGCCTCGCTCGTTCGGGGACGACGCGGGCATCGCTACCTCGAGATCTGAAGACACGCAGTGGGCTGGAGACAGACTCACTAGCCCCGGCATCCTCAGCTGCGTCGACTGTGGTTTGCAACATTCTCGCCCAATTATGCGAGACTGCGCCAGACATTCCTCACAGCCGGACGCTTGCGGAAATGGGAATCGACAGCTTGTTGATGATGGAACTAGCAGTAGTGCTCCAGCAACGATTCCGAAGCATGAAAGGCGTGGAGGGCTTGAACTTGGAGCAGTGCCGCACAGTGTCAGACGTGGTAGCTCAGGTGAGTATGTTAACGGATGCAGAGGAAACAGTCATAGGAACTCCTTCGTCTGGGGGCGCACAGACACCAGCTCAGACCCCCATTCAGCCCTCTGCCTCTCTCCGGGACTTGTTTGTCGAGGTTTGTGGCCTTGAGCCACGGGACGGTGAGAAAGAACAGCCCCTCTCCCTGTTGGGCGTCGATTCTCTCCTGTCCATTGAGTTGGCTCACGAGATCCGGACCCGACTGGGATTGACTCTCCCTGACGATTTCCACGACGGTTTTTCCGGCCTCACTTCCCGTCGGCTAGGGGAGCTCTGCGCCGTGAGCCCAAGCCACCGGCCGCCTCCACGTGGAAAGGACATACCACACATACACCGAGAAGATCCCCGCCTCGGCAAACTCTTACATGACGGCGTATTATCTCACGAAATGCCATCATCTGGCAGCGAGATCTATCTGTTCCACGACGGAAGTGGAATGTGTGGGATGTATGGGCGGCTCTCCGGGCTTACACGCCACAAGGTGTACGGCATCGCAAGCCCCAGCTGGCCGTTTGCCGACTGCGAGCGGCCCATGACATTGCAGGCTCTGGCGTCCCTGTACATCGAGCACACCGGCCTGGCCACGACCAGCTCTGATGTCATTTTGGGCGGTAAGTCGTTTCCCCCCCAGTACAAGCAAACCGAGGGAGGCTTTCTCACAAAGAAAACATCCAGGTTGGTCATTTGGCGGTGTCCTCGCCTTCGAGGCGGCACGTCAACTTTGTCGGCGCAAGAGACCGGTGAAGGGGGTCGTGATGATCGACTCTCCAGCCCCTGTGGCCCATCAAGCTCTTCCTGCCCCCGTGATCGACTATGTCCTTTGTCCAGGGGGGGGACGAGCACTGCTTCAGTCCGAGCAGGCTCGTCAGACTCAGCAGGAAATCCAGGCCAACTTCCGCGCACATGCCGATCTCTTGGAGAATTATCACCCGGCGGGGCCCGTCGCCGACGAAGACGGGGCGCTACGACCGCTAGCATGCGTCCTGATCAGCTGCCGCGAGCCCCTCGACACGGACCGACTGTGTGGTGTCTCTTACCCTTGGCTGAGTGACCCTTGCTTCCGTCGAGACAGCCAGCAACAGTGGGAAAGCCTAACGGGCACCCCCTTAACAGTCCTGGAGATTCCTTGTGATCACTTTAGCCCGTTCCGTCCTGACTGTGTAAGTCTTACGCATAGCCCTCCACTTATTCGGTGTCTGGCAGCAAGAGCGATGTTAACACTGGGCATTGTTCTGTAGATCGAGACCACATCGGACAAGATACAACAAGCAATCCGCATACTGACTGGGATAGCTTAACCTCAAGGCATCGGTAGAAGGATGATGAGGAACGGTGGTAATCGCGCAACCTTGCAAGTGGGGATCATCCAGAATAGATATATTAAGTTCATCATGATGTGTATGTAGGAGGATTCCATACATGAAGATAGGAAGCCTGAGAACAAAGAATGATAATGTGGATCGGGACTTGGATACAGCAATAGGATGAATATAGTAACAAGAAGTGAATCTCGAGTGCCTTGACCTGATTGTCAAGGTGCGGGCTGGCTGGGTTGGTAGGACTGGCAGTTCTGGCTGGCAGGCTTCTTATAACATTTATCCTTCATTAGGGTTTACATCACGCTGTCCTTAGCCTAATAGATAATGCATGGCTCAAAGAGCTGAATCAAGACTGGACAGAGTTTCTGAGTAAGTTAAATGATATGTTTGAAGTAGACAGGAAGATAAAAAGCTTAATCAACATTGGAACCATGCAGCGATTTGGTCTAACAATCGTATAGGTATACTTGGTAGAATCGAGGCTACATTTCTGCTTTGCGTAGAAATATCTAGAGAAGAGTTGTGTATAATCTAGACTGTTCTATTTAGGTTTACAACTTACATCAACCCTTCTATAGATTACAGTATCCTTTGGCTCATTATAATAATGATGAGAAGAAGATAGAATATTCTTTGGAACTGCTTCTATAATTCGTAGTGACAAGGTCGTAAGGAATGATAGGACTTTAACATATAAAAAGGATCTATATTCGGTATCGACTAAGCTAAAGCTTCGGGAAGCCCTATCTTCCACACCTCGTGGTCGTATGTGCTGGATTTCCCTCTGAGACAGGCTACAATGAGCGAAATGGTAGTCATAGGATTGGGATCTAGTTAGATTCGAAGTTATTAAGCAAAAACAAGAGTAAGGCTTTGGTGGTGTTGACCCATCCAACTATATGTACTAACCTCCTGGCGTGTGGCTTGCAACGCGGCCAGAAGTTTACACTCGGCTTAACAATTCAGAGTTTAACTGGCACCTTTCCCCAGCAAGCCAAGAACAACCAGATACAGGAACTTCAAAAAAAAAAAAAAAAGAAGGATCCAGACCATAATATGGAACATTTCGGATTCCGAATGGCTAACAGACACCGGTAGCTAAATATGCCCCGACTGCTTGGGTTGAGATAATCCCCAATCAAGAATAGCAGGCAGAGCCGGGACATGCGCATCAAATGGTAGAACCGGCATGAACGGTGGTGTTTTTGATCTTGGTGAATTTTTCTTCTATTTTCTTCAAGGGAGGTCTGTTGGCGACGCCCATAGCAATTATATCTTTGATTGAGATGAGTACGGTAATGTTTCCCGAGAGGTAGGCTAAAAGCGCACTGAATTGGAACCGAAAGCAAGTGAGTGAATCGAAAAAAAGAGAGAGAGAGAGAGACGAGAAAACAAATGACAGGGGAGTTGGTACAGATTTAGCCAAGACAGAAGAAAAGCTGAAACAAAGCACGGGAAACAAGAGAAGTACTTCTCGAATGCGGAGGACCGCAGCACAGCACCGAGTCAGGAGGCTCTCAGGCCCAATACCTCGTGAAGATTGCTCAAGCCTTGCAAGTCTCCAGCCATGGTATCTTTCAACTTCTTGTCGATCCAGCCCCAGCTGGCGCCGCCTTCGAAATCGATCAGCCAGGCGTCGCCTACGCCATCGATCACCACATTTGCCGCCTTGACATCTCCCCAGCAGAGACCCTCCTGATGCAGAGTCTGCACGGCCGCGGAGACCTGGTCATACCACTTCTGACGGTCGGCGAGGCTCATCTCGCCATCATCTCGAATCAGACGATCCAGACTGCGGGAGGACGGGATGCACGTCATGAGAATCCCTTCGAAGATCGTATCCAGGCCGATGAGCCCTTCCAGCCTCGGGGCCCGGAGCGTGGTGTGTCCTTTCCTGCGCAACGCTTCCAGCTTCCGCAACATCGAGATCTCCCGGACAAATTGCGGATCTCTGGCAAGCTTGTAGACATAGGCCCGCCCGTTGATAGTGACTTCGTGGACCTGATTCGTCAACGAGCGGAACCGCTCGACGTCCGACAAGGCGAAGACCGGAACGTCTTGGACATCCTCCTTGACCAGGCCCCAGTCGAGTCTCACGAGCTCCGGCTGAAACGGTTCGAATCCGGGCGTGTCTGCGTCCGGCCCCGGAACCAGCTGGAAAAGCCGGGAGCCGTGTGTTAATTCGGCCTCGAAAGTGTCTCTGGCCTCGTCCGTCTTGATCGCCGTGAAGACCGGTCGACAGGCTGCTTCCAGCCCTCCGAGGAGTTCCACCCAGGCCTGCTTCTTGTAGAGATCGAGGTAGCGATGGACAACGGTTTCCTCGGACCTCTCTTGCGGGTCGTCCGGAGACGGAGGCGGAACGATGATCAGGATGTCGAACTCCGTCTCGCGAAGGGTGGCCTCGTCCTGAACGGCGAACCCTACCGCAGCCACCGCGAGAGGGCCCGGACTTCCGGAATGACCGATTTGGCTGACCCTGAGGCCTGGACGTAGCGGTGTGCCGGGCCCGGAGGTAGAGGCAGAGAAGCACATCTGAAAGTCCTCTAGAGAAGGGTGAATTTAGCCACAGGTCCGTTCAGCACTGCAGTGAACAACTTACCCCAGTCCGCCTGGTCATCGAACCCGCGGCCACTGTATTTCAAGTTGGCCCAGAACTGAAAGTCGAGGCCGACATTGTCCTTGGGCGATTTGGCTGCCATCGTGTTTTGATTGGAAGATAAGGTACGTGGGTCCGTAGTGAAAAATGCCGAGGTAGAAGAAGATTAGGGTTGTTTGGAGGAATATTGTTGGGAGAAACACACCGCAGAGGATGCAGAGGAACAGCAGCGCTTTTAAAATGACATGGAAACAGGGGTCGGTCAATCATTCATTGTGCTGATACAGCAATGAAGATTTGACAAAGGCACTGGAAAGAAAAGGGAAAAAAGAACACGGCTTCGCGGGTTTGCTTGCCCGAGGGTAAATCTCGTATACACTGTCTAAGCTGGGAGAGTGCAGTCACCGCATAGGATAGTTTTGTACACAGCTTGTGACTAGAAATCAATAGTTAGTACTAGTTACCCAGTTAAGATACTAGTCTTGCATGATTAGCTAGACATCAAAAGCGACGCTGCGGCTGGTAGTCCAAGGTGGTGAGCCGAATTCGATCGAGCCGCCGTCTTTGTTGGCGACGGTGACAAAGATATTTCTCAAAGGTCGATGTATACTGTTTCCGTAAAAATAGCACATACAGTATATGATTCACTCTTCACCGTGCAAACCCTTCTACTGGTTGTCTGGTTAGACCCGTTTCTGACGAGTTCCCTCGGTGATATTCACAACAATGGACAGCAGAAAAGCACCAGCCGGAAAATACGAGAGAAAGGAGAAACTATAATATAAAACTGGAATGTCTTTTACAGTTGGACTATGTAGAAAAGAAGGGGAATAAATGCCTCTCTGCCATCACCCGAGACACGGGATAAACAAATGACCTGTCAAGGAGGTGTGACTATGTGAGGCTATCTGTGAGGAACTATCAATGTATGTACTTGGCGGGTGGTAAGCCGCCCGAGCTATGTAGTAGTCTGTGTATGCCTTCAATTTATCCATGGGATCGTGTAGTATGATGCCTGAAGACTACTTATTTTTATTATTCTAATTTTTCTTTCTCCTTTTTATTTATTGACTTTTCATTTTTTGCAAAGCGCTAAGTAACTTTCCAACTTAGTTAGGACTCAGGGCAGATGGTACTTATCATGGATGAGGGCCAGAGCATGGGCCGGGGGTTTTAGGGCTATGCCTCAAAAAGTAGCTGGGACTGTCTCCCGAGTCACCGATGTGGATACCCAATACAGTAACCTTGAAGCTGCAGCTGATCTACATACTAAGTCATCATTCTCACAACAACGTATACATATACGTACCTACAGTACAGCTGGCTGCACGGACCTGCGTCAGCCGCGTGGGCCTGTGCCCTGCGGGCTGGCGGCGGGCTAAGCCGCAGCGATTGGAGCGCTAAGTGTCGCTTAACCCGTGTGCTCGTGTACAAATCGATCCATAGCGCGGGACGTACGAAGAGGCTCGGCGAGGAATCAAGCCTCAGCTGCTGCGAATTGGTTACCCAAATTGAATCTGAGGATCATCCATAGCTGACAGGAATCCTGATTCCAATGCCATGGTCTATCTTATCCAGTAGTGGGTCAAGCTGCCTCGGAGGGTGTTGCGAGATGACTATATAAGGCGGTTCTCTTCTTTTTCTCCAAGATCCTAGAATCCAGACAAGCATCTCCAACCCCAATCTTCACTGACTCTCGATCAACCGCAGAGAAACCATGGGCTCAACACAACCCAGCCTCGAGAGCCTGGGCGCGACCATCGCCGACCTCACCCACTCTCTCGCCGGTCAGCTCAACGCCGCGGGGCAACCGCAGCCATCCTTCGCAGTAGATGCGCCAGCCTCCATGCCCCCAAACCCCAAAATCCAGGATGCTCGCATGAAGCTCCTAGAGACTCTTGAAACCCTGCACCATTTAGTGACAGGATCCAGCGACTTCTGGTTCCAACAGAGCATGTTTGTAAGTCCCCTTGCCCCCCCCCGGCTCCCCCCCTCTATCAGATAGCATAGGCATATCGATCCTAACCCAAAAAGCCAAACCACGCCCTCCTCACCTTCGACGTCTTCAACACCTTCAACCTCTGGAACGCAGTACCCCTCCACGGCTCCGCCAGCTACGCCGACATCGCCCGCTTCACCGACCTCCCCGAACCGATCGTGCGCCGCTTCCTCCGGCTCGCCTTCACCATCTTCGTCTTCGCCGAAGAAGGGGAGCGGGTCGTGCACACCGCCGCGTCCGCGCACATGGCGCGCTATCCCTATGCGCGGGCCTTCCTCGCGCATAATCTGGAGGATGTGCGGCCCGCCGCGACGGTGGGGGTGGAGGCGTTGAAGCGGTGGTTTGTGGGGCGGCATGGGGCGGCGGTGCCGGAGGAGATCACGGCGTGCGCGATCCCACTGGCGACGGATCATGATGGGCGGCGGCGGGGTACGGATCTGTGGGAGTTTTTGGAGACGTTTGAGCGGTTGCCGGAGCAGCCGAGGGGGTTTCGCGCGAAGCGGTTTGCGGAGGCGATGCAGGGACTACGCCAGACGAGTGGGGTGATGACGGAGGGGGTGTTGAGGCGGTTTGACTGGGGTGGGTTGGGGGAGGGGGCTACTGTTGTGGATGTAAGTTCTTGCTGTTGCCAGTGGTTCAGGGGAAAGAGTGAAGCTATATGTTGGCGGTGCTAACGCAGTATAGCTTGGAGGGTCGGCAGGACATATCAGCGTCATCCTCGCTGAACACTATCCCAAGCTCAATCTGATCGTCCAGGATCTCGCCTCGGCCCAGTCGGCCTTTGAGGCGAATATCAGCTCCACGCCGTATGCATCCCGCATCACGTTCCAGACACACAATTTCTTTGAGCCGCAGAGTTGTCCCGCGGATGTCTTCCTGCTCAAGTCGGTCCTGCATGACTGGTCCGACAAGTATGTGCGGCAGATTGTCCGGAACCTGCTGGGAGTGCTGAAGCCGGGGAATCATCTGCTCGTCTTTGATTTCGTGGTGCCGGCGGAGTATGACGATGCCCAGAACAAGCTGGCGATTCCATTGCCGGTCAGGAAATCGGTCGCGGCCATGGATCTGCAGATGCACGTGGCGTGTAACTCGAAAGAACGAACCACACAAGACTGGACGGATGTGATCAAGCAGGCCGATGGTCGCTTTGACTTGAGGGAGGTTCATCTTCCTGCTGGATCGCCGCTGGGGATTCTCGACTTTGTGTTTCAGGGATGATAGATCGCATCACAATCATCCAGGAAGCAGAGCCTGGGCTTTGCTACCTTTGCTATGAGACAGTATACCTATTAGTTCTTGTGGATAGATTGAGCGTGTTTTGTTGGATGTCCTTTGGCTTACACTTTTGACTCGACCTACCTTCCTAAGCAATATTCCTTTTGCTGCATCAAGCTTCACCTATCTTCATCTGTCCTCGCCGCATTGATCTATACTCGAATCCAGATTATGTCACACATCCTCACCTCCAAGTATATTTCCATCCATAGTTGGCCGTTCTGATCATGCTTGACGCCATAGGAGTCTCTCCGTTGACCTCTGCCGCGGATGGTTCAGGTATTCCCCAGCATCGCAGCTATACATATACCAGATCAGTTTCAAACCCCCATACGAGAAGAAACCTGACTTTGCGTGGACGACACAACAGCTCGACTGGCTAACCAGCACACTATACAGATTCTACTCCCGGTCGCAGATGCTCGGTCCTAGGTCGAAGAGGCAGGGTCCTGATACCCTGCGCCAGGACAGATGCGGCTGCAGAGCGTTGCGCGAGAGCAATCAGCCGGTCGATCTCCCCTCCGAACCATGGCCGGAACGCTTCCAGGAGGTCTACCACTGCATAGCATGGCTGGTCCACGCTGGAAGCCGTGGGAGGGGAGGCTGAGACGGGTGATGTCTGGCGACGGAATCGATCGCCCTCCTGCAGGCCCGAGTCTGGGTGGGTCATGACCTTGGCCCAGCTGGGACTGCTGCCTGCAAGCCAGGAGTGCGGAATGACGAGTGTTGCACCGTGCTGCAGCAGCAGTGCAATGGATTCGACGTGGGCTTGTATCATCTCGGCGTCAGCGATGAGACAATCAACCAAACAGCCTGCGGTCCAGGCGAGGAATCGTGCCCAGACGGTCCCTCCTCGGTAGTATTCGTTGGGGTTGCCTCCGTTGTCGAGCACGAGGCGCACAAGCTCGGGGCTAACCAATGAGTATCCAATACCCAGGGAGCCACGGCGCCGGCAGAATTCCGGTCGGAGAACATGGTCCAGGATCGGCCGGCCAGCTTTGTTGCGGATTTGCGCTGGACCCAGACACGCCCTGACGAAGCCCCGCAAGTCAAAGTCGATGGCGAGGGTCAGGAAACAGCTTTGTTCGTCCGCCCATTTGCCTGCCAACCTGCCGATGTACCAGCCGACATCCATGCTACTGTCGTGGTTACTCGCTGATAGGAGAGCTTCCATGACTGGGTCCAGCATCTGGGCTGCTCTGATGGCCGGGGCGGATTCCCTCCATCCGGGCACTGCTAATGCGCACGCCAGGTAACTAGCAATGCCAAAGGTCAACTCCCGGATACTTCCAACAACCATCAGGGCTTGAAGTTGGTGGATCCTGGCGTTGACTAGGTACCGCCTTGCGTCAAAGGGCCCGCCGGTGTATTGATGCAGTAATTCCTGAATCTCAGGCGACCGAAGGAAGTCCCGGCAGCTGCGATGTATGAAGCTGATGGTTAGCATAAATGTGTGTCCTATCTCTGCCGACTCCGCAACCTGTGTACAAAGCGCAGAATTGAATTGATGACCATCGTAGGTCTCCAAGTAATCCGGAGTGGTAAGGTCAAGAAAATCAGAAAACTCCAGATCAAATACGCACTCCAGCAGGCCCATACATCGACTGTTGATCCTACGGTACGTGGAGTCCAGCATGAAGGCAAGTCCTTCACGATCAGCCAGATCCAATATGGGATAGTTCGACGGGCTTGTGTCCGCAAAGTCAAGGACAGGTTCGTCAATGAACAAGAGATCAAGCATCCGCAGCGGGTGGAGTGCGGTGAACGCGGTCTCCTCATGTAATGCAATCTGGATCATTTTCGACGCTTCTCTCCTGTGCAGGGGAGGGATCGAATCAATCATCCTACGGAAGTATTCATCCAGGTCAGCGGGGATGCCGTTGAGCTTTCGCGACAGGGCAGCCATATTATCGCCATCCTGGAGAGCTTCAAGCAGGTCGCGCACCACGAGCCGGACCCATAAGAAGACTCCAGCAGCCTTTTCAGTCATCGCCAAGATTAATCTGTCTGCCTCGGCTTTCTGGCGAAGGTGAAGATATCGAAAGCGGGGGGATTTGGTAAGCTCGGTCTTGATATATGTGCTGATATCCTGATAAGTAAGGTCCTCTAATCGCAGTTGCGGTGTGCTGTTGAAGGCATCTCGAAATACGTTCCATGGCCGGCTTGACAGACATATCTTCACGTTCGCCATTCCGTTCAACCCAGTCAGACTTCGGATTACATCCCGTCGCAACTCGTCAGTGCCTTCATATTCATCCAGACCGTCGATAAGAAGAAGGATTTTGTAGCGGTCTTGCAGAGCGCCAATGCACAGATGAAGTAGACTCATTCGCTCAGACTGGGTCCATTCCACATGACTCGAGCCCCAAGTTCGGGGATTGTACTTTGGTCCAAGTGTCGTGATGCGAGCTATGAGCTCAGGCTGCTGTTCGAGTATCTGGGCAAGCAAGGACCGCACGAGTCCTTCGAAGGACTTCTGTAGCGCATTCCCTGCATTCCAGAAGTAATATGAAGCTCGTATCACTGTGAACCCACTTGCCCAGGGAAGCATATGCTCCTCGTAATCCAGATTTTGGTCCAGGTAGCGCATTAGGGTCGACTTTCCCGCGCCCGGCTTACCGGAGATCCAGTAAATCGGTTCGGTGTCCGTGGGAGCAGATAGCCAAGCCACAACCGAGCTCGGATGTTGTGGCTGCAGGACCCATCGGTAGGTCTTTTCGTGCGCAGTTCGAATCTGTTGTGCACGTTCCTGCATTTGCGGAAACTGGATGCTAGCCAAGAACAGTTGGTGGGTATCTGCCAGTCTTCTTTGCTCATCCAGGTTCCTGAGATGCTCTTGTCGATTGAGAATGCCATGAATCTGATGTTGAAGGCAGTCAAGCTGATGCCGATGCGAGACGAGAAGCTGAGTTTCTGCCGCTTGGTTCATGCCGGTTGCCTGCACCTGCTCCAGAACCTGGCGTACATCCGCTCGGATCAGCGCACAACGTTCCTCCAGTGCAGATAAGACGTTGTCCTCTAGCTGAGCCGTAGACTGGAGAATCTGATCCTGGCCCGCCACGGTGGCTTGGGTATCTCTACCACGCACTTAGTGACACGACAGTAAAGCATCGGCCAGGGACATACTTGAGGTAGAAGAGCAGTGCGGTGTTGAGATTCTCCCGAGCCCGACCCACAGCCTTAGACATGGCTTCCATGCGGTCGCGATTCCAGAGCGTCTTGATGCTCGCCCGGATGGACTCTAGCAATGCATGTGGGGTGCGGAGCTTCAGCTTGTTCAGCAAGTCTACGAACTCGATCGACAGACGAAGGCACTCTTCGTTAGCCTGCTGCAACCGAGCCAACGCCGGAGTGAGACTGTCTGGGTCGGTAGAATCTGGGATCGAGGCGTGTAAGTCGACATTCAAACTGATCAGGCATTGCAGCACTCCCTGCAGATCCTCGTGCTCGCGGGGTTCGCCCGTGCTGGCTTTGCGGTAGTTCAAGGTCAGGGTCAGGGTTTTCTGACCAAGCTCAATGACTTGAAGAATGTTGCATGCGAGGGAGAAGGCGCTTAAGGGGTCCATACTGAATGTCAGCAATGGGCTCCGAATCGCCTGAGGGGTATGTGTATCACAGCCATAGTTGGCGGGGGCGGGGTAATCTAGTCCACGAGGCTGTGTCTAGTCAATCGGCTGTTTGTTTTTCCGTGTGTTCAAGTATCAGAACTCCAGCAGCGACAGTAATAAAGAAAAGAAATCCATGGTTGTGTGTCCTAGAAGGCTGTTGTGGAAGAAGCAATGAATGGTGTCTTCGATGCCAGGAATATTTGCCAACAGATGGGGAGAAAAGAATGTGGTGGAAGAGGCGTGAGTGGATGAACCACACGGCAAGTATGGGTTAAGTACTGTACAGTACCGTAGATTCATGCAAACAACACAGACAGTAACCGTAGTTATGTCCATTTCTGGGTACCTAGTATAGGGATCTGGAAGGTGATATTGGGAAGACTGGCATAGAACACACTACAAGTATCACCACAACCCACTGTCCATCATCCCTCGCAACTCACCAAGAAACTCCTTGGCCGTGATACGCCGCATCCACCTGCCATCGTCCTCCCCCTCTTCCTCGCACAGCGCTTTTGCTAATAGTCCCGCCTGCCGCACGGATAAACCGTTAGCAAACATTTCAAGCAGAGTGGTTTCTATCTTCGACTGTTTCGCAGCATCAACTACACTCTTCCACACCAGCATGCGAAAGTCCCGATCAGACGACATCCGGCTGGAGACCAACCCCAAGAACGACATCGCCATGGCAAAGACATCCGAGCTCATGGGATCGTGTCTTTGGTTTAGTAAAACCTCTGCTCCCGCGTCAGTACAACGTCAGATTCCTTACTCCAATGGCTTACCTTGAGATAAATACCCCAAAGTCCCCGCACTGCCTCTCACCTCTCGAGCGGGGGTAGCGTGGTCCAGATCCGAGAGGAGAACGTGCATGTCCCCCGTCTCATTCCATCTATACACCATATTCGCGAGCTTCACATCGCGATGCGCAAAGCCCTGTGCATGGAGCTGGACTAGCCCTTCCCACATCTGCAGCATAGCGGAGCGGGTCCGCTGCCCTGGCTCCTCGCGCGACGACAATCCGGCCGCCCACGAATGCAGATTTCCCTGCATGCGTGGCATGATCATCGCGTAGACCAGCCCATCTGCGGCCTTGTCATCCTCTGGTTGGGGAATGGTTACCGTCTCCAGGGAGCGGAGCAGGTGATCGCCGTGGATGAGGTCCATTAGCTGAGCCTCCCACAGTAGATGGGGACGGTGCGAGACCTTGATGGCGACATTCTGGGTTTCTCTGAGATTTAGAGAAGACAAAATGCCAGGATAGACGTAGCCACTGGCCCCATGGCCCAGGATTCCTCGCTGGTCGATCTCTAGTCGGTATCCATCGGTGAAAATCGTGGTTTGGTCTGGGTCGTCGTCCTCCTGGACTCGGGATGCCGGGACCCTGGATCGGAGAACGTCAAGGGTTGCTCGGCGGTTGGCGTGACCTGGAAAAGGTCTGTGGTGGTTGGTATAGTTCTTGTACGTCTCCCATGACTCGATGAAGTCAGGAACCTTGTGTCTTTCCTGTTCTTGTTCCGTTGCTGGATGGCTCGATGGGTCTGGGGAGGCAGAGCTCCACGGTCGGCATCCAATTTGTCCGAGCAGTATTAGAGTCAAGCAGATGCCCAGTGGAAGCTGGAATATCAGCCAGGAAATCGAGACTGCCATGCGGACGGGGTTTTCTCTCAATCAAACGGGAGACAACAGTCCGGACCAATGTAGACAGCAGGCATCATAAAGGAGACGCAAATGCTAAGACGAGACATTCCTATCAGGATCATCGGGACTGCCTCTTCAAGACCTGCTTTGCTGCATTCAAGTGCCAATTTGAACGTCCATCACAAAACAATAATTGAAGTCCCACAGCCATATCAAGATGTCCGCATCTGATGCTGCCGCGGTGCTGCAGTGGAGCCAAAGATCACAGATATTAAATCCTCAGTGCGGCAAGAAGCTCCGCCTCTTGCGAGTCATGCATTTCCCCAAGAAGAACTATGTGAAGCATGCAGTGGCTTGTCGCTGACATGAGTGGCGGCTCATCTCCGGTTGGGTGACGATCCTTGGGGGGATTTTCCCCGAGATGCAGCCACCTGCCGCTCAATATTGGATTTTCTGCACTAACGTTACGAGCTAACGATTGATTATCCAGCTCAGCCCGCTTGTGAGAGAATTTATGCTCGTAATCCAGCGAGTTTGGTCGAGAACTGGGAGTCCATTGGGATACGGTCTGCAGAACTTCCCGGTACGTGGCCGCGTAGCTCAGGCAGGGAGAGGGCCCGTCGGCGGCGAAGAGATCCAGCCCGTTCCGGTCGCTTGATGGTGGTGGTTGTGTGATTGATGCAAGGTATGGGGATGTGTCGTGGATGCGCGAGTGGAAGTATGATTTCGATAATTGAAACAGGGTGCTGGTCAACTCGCTTCCCAAGCGGCGAGATGCAGTGCGATGCAATTCAAGAATTGCCAGTATAATTACGCCTTGAATGTTCCCACCCATTTCTCGAAATGCCAGTGCACCACTGTTGATACAGACAATTCTTTCATCTCTCTTCCACTTGCCTACCACAAATCTCCAACGATCACAATGCTTGCTTTCACCAAACTCATGCAGCCAGCCCTTCTGCTGGCACTTCTCTGCGTGCTCGCAGCCGCTCTTCCTGCGGATCAGGGAGCCAATCTTAACAAGCGACTGGTAGTGAGTTAAGCGAAAGACAACGCGGAGAGGGGAAGCTGACAGCGATGCTGTTACGAAGGGGATTGAAGTCCAAATTGATGCCTATGCAGAGACCTAACAGCTATGAATCTCAGAGCATACAGCAGGGCAAACGATCGGTAAGTTGGAAGAACACAAGAATTCAAGGAAACATTCGAGGAGGGAAATGCCGGGCTGACAAAGTGCATCACAGCTCCTCGGTGACAGGCCTCCGCGATGGCGAAATGGCAAACGACAAGATGTGAGTCTGTTGAGAGGTCGTTAGGCCAGGCAGGGCTGACCACGATTTGTTTTGTCATCAAGAATCTGGCTCTGGCTCTTACTCTCGATGATGAGACCTCATCCCAGTTGGCTCTATCGGCATCGGCGTCAGCATCGCTTAGTTGACATTGCGATTGCTTCGGGCAGACGACAGGTGGTAAAGCAGCGCAGCAATGTTTATAGACAGGTCACAATGTTTTTCAGTGCATAGACATAACTTATCCGTTTGGCGATCCGTCTGGTTGAAGCTTTTACACACTATGGACATGTCCGATCTCTATATGCAACGAGGAGGAAGCATCATCAATGGAGAGGACATCCAGTACAGTCAAAGTGGGAAGGAACACACCCCCAACTCAACCTGACAATCCCATGACAACCAGAACCACCCATCTCGGTTTGCAACGACTACTCCTAGTGATACTACCTAGTACTTACTACCTTCTTAGTAACCAAAGCGGCTCGTCTTTCTCCTACCAGAGTCAACTGCAGGTGCTCCACACAGTACTTGCCAGTCCTTCAACGCACATGCATATTAGACATCAATCATAAGAACGATCACATCACCGCTCATGCAAGACTTCCTGTACCCCGACTTATTTCAGCTCCTGTCCTACAAGATTCCATTCCACTTTACTGATCCCCCCATTCCCCATCAGCCACAGCGTCTTCAATTCCGGGCCGGTCCAGGCAAAGTTCTGAACCGTGTAGTTCGTCTGGATGGTGAACAGCAATTCCCCGGATGGATCTATGACGTCCACCCCGTAACCACAGCCGGTAACGATGTAGCCATTTGCGGCCACTTTCAGTCCATCGGGGACAAAGCCAGGTGCGAGGTAGATGGGCCGTTTGTTGTAGGCGTGGGCTCCATCTTGACTCACGTCGAAGGCATAGATGGTTCTGATGGGTATGATGTCAGTTACCTGGGACTCGAAGCAAGTGATAAGCGAAGAGTTGAGATGAGTTACCTTCGCTGAGTCGTGTTGAATGTGCTGCCCGGATGGCCATACTTCGGGTCGACCGGGGCGCTGACAGCAACTGTGTCGCTGATGTAGACGATTGAGCCATCTGGGGTGAAAGCGATACCATTCGGCTGTCCGATACTGTCGTCGACTACGACAACTGCACCAGAAGAAGTGTTATAACGATAGCTGGCAGCGGGCAGCTGAGGAGGCGTATCAGTTAGAGAATTGAACCAAGAGTATTCTGGAAGCAGTTAGCATGTGTGTGAGGAAGGGTGTAACAGGGCACTCACGAGGATCGGTGAACCAGATATCTCCCGTCTTGGGATGAACGGCAAGATCATCAACCGTATTGAAATAGTAGCCAAAGTAGTTATTGACCAAGCTGACGGTCTTGTTGGTCTCTGGATCCAGGGTTCTCAACCCCACACGCTGCTCGGAACCTCCAATGGAGTTGTTGCCACCAGAAGCACCCCAGATGATCTTGCCGTTGTGGAACGTACCACCATTGGGGGCATATACCGGGGGATCAGAGAGAAATTCGGACAAAGTGGGGGGATCCTGGTTTAGGTCGACCACAAGCTGCGGTAGATAGCCAGTGGGAGGAGCTAGCTGCGACAAATACAGCTTGTTTTGGGACGCTACATAGACAGGAGCCTCGTGCACGGCCTCATTCACCGCGAAGACATACTCGTAATTGGGGTTGGGTCCTAAAGCCTCGAGACCTTTTTCCTTGTTGTACACAATGAAATCGGCCGACTTGATGTCGTTCAGCTTGGTACCGTTGGCCACCGTGGTGTCACCAAACGTGGTGGGTGCATCCATTGTAGTTAGATTGCGGAAAAAGTGGTAGCTAATTATGCATCAGAAGGGCTTTCTACATTTGGACTATGTGCCACGAGTCACTCACGGTAGGACATTGCCATAGCGATTTATGCATACCACGGAGGGGCCGCAGTTCTCTGAGATGGGCTGTGTGACTCCTGTTTGGGCACGAGCCAGTCTGGGGGCAAGGAAGATTAAAGATAGAAGAATCGACTGCATGATGACTACCGGACTAAACAACAAAAGAAAGTGGTAGTCCCAGCTATACGGTGAAAGACCGAACGTCCAATTTCATGGCATTGAATCTGATAGACTTGAGCGGGCCAAGGCTGGTACTTATAGATGAGGACCATGCATCTCCAAATAGAGGGGTGACCCCAAAAAAGGGAATGGTGCCTGGGATCAGCACCGACACCGATGAGCCCACTTCTCTATATCCGAGAGAATTCCGTGGGGGTGAAGAAGAGCCAAATGTGGGTGAGAAACCGACTTGGCGGGGGGTTGGACGATCCGGGAAACAATAGAAAACCTCGGCTGCGGGGATGCGTGGCGAGGGATCGGGCCTCGCGGTTCGCCCGAGTATCTGAAGCTATTCACCCAAGCTAACCACAACGCAGTAAGGCTGTGGACTATCAAGGATCTTAGCTTGAAGAGGTTTGGTTGCAACTTGGCAGATCGAGCAAATGATTCGGAGTAACTCCGATCTGGTAAAGCAAACGATCCGTTGCCAAGGCAAAACCGCGACATCCCTTGCAGAGCAATCCGTCGTCGTACGGTAAGTGCGGACTTGCAGCAACGAGGGTCCTCAATGGCGAATACTTAACGAGCTGATATCTTCGATGCTGCCTGTTCCGTCACCTGCAGATGCAGTCGACGTCTCCTTTGCGTCCGGGTGAATATCCGAACTGTCTTCCTTTTCGCCTAGCGAACGCTGGATGAGCTTGGCTTTCATGACAGCGCCCTTGTAGCGTTCGTCCACATCGTTGACGGCCTCCTCATCGTTCACCATCGGTAGAGAAGCTGGGTCGACTAATTCGAGCAGAGTGTCGAGATTCTTGGCCAGTCTGGAGCTCGTCACCAGGTTTGGCATCTCCTTGCAAAGCGATGGGTCCAGCAATCCTTCGCCCGGTCTGCCACTCGTCCCATCCTCCGTTTGCGACTCCGAAACAGCCTTGGCAGAGACAGACGGGTCGGAGTCTGCGACTCGCTGAGCCCAAACCAACGCCTTGCCGTACAGTCTTCCGATCTCGACGAACTTTTCGAACCCTTTCTCGACGGCGAAAACACTTCCTTCGGTGTAGCCAGCCAAGGCGCCATCTGCGGAGCCCAGGTCGAATCCTTCTTGGTAGAATTCTTCCTCCAGGTCCAGGAGACTCTCAAGCAGATTACCGTCCATTGCGGATTGAATTTTCCCCTCTTTTTCCTGGTGGGTGAGAGGGAGGGCCGGAGATCGTGGGTAAAGACAATTGAACGAGGTGGAACGTAGATAAAGAGAACGCAACAAAGGAAGTCAACCCAGGAGAGTGATTGACGCGGAGAGCATTCCAGAAGGGAAAAAAAAAAAGTAAATCGGAATAAAACGAAGGGTACGATAACTAGCGATATGGTAGACAGATAGTTAAGTTACGGAGAGATAGATAAGCAAGCGCTGCGGAGAAAGAAAAGATCGGAAGAAGCGATGAATCATCCTCCGGCAGCGGCGCAAAGACACAAACTGCTGCTCTGCTTTGCTCCGGCGTGCAACTTTTACTTTACCCCGCCAATATCTTCACCTCCCCTCCTCCTCTTCTTCCCCCTCCTTCTCTCTCCTCCACAAAAATGGCGTCCGACGATTCCAAAATCCTTCCCAAGAAGGGTCAGCGCAACATCCTCGTCACTAGTGCCCTGCCCTACGTGAACAACGTCCCCCACTTGGGTAACATCGTTGGTTCCGTGCTCAGCGCCGATGTTTTCGCCAGGTCCGTCTTGTCCTTCATCCTCTTATCTCCCTCTTTCTTCTTCCCCACTCACCGATTGCCTGGATTTTTCAATCTAACCTGACTGTCGATTAGATACCACAAGGCCGCCGGACACCAGACTCTCTATATCTGTGGTACCGATGAGTACGGAACCGCGACGGAGACCAAGGCGTTGGAGGAGAAGGTGACCCCGGAGGAGCTGTGTGCCAAGTACAACAAGATCCACCAAGAAGTATACGGGTGGTTCGAGATTGGCTTCGACCACTTCGGCCGCACCCCGACGAAACAGCACACCGAGATCTCCCAGGCCATCTTCAAGAGACTGTACGACAACGGCTACTTGACCGAGAAGACCGCCGAGCAGCCCTTCTGTGAGACGCACAACTCCTTCCTGGCCGATCGCTACGTCGAGGGCGAGTGCCCTCGTTGCCACTACGACGACGCCCGTGGTGACCAGTGCGACAAGTGTGGCCACCTCCTCGACCCCTTTGACCTCATCAACCCCCGCTGCAAGCTCGACGGCGCCACCCCCGTCCGCCGCGAGACGAAACACATCCACCTCCTCCTGGACAAGCTCCAGCCGCAGATCGAGGAATGGTCCTCCAAGGCCATCGAGAAGGGTGACTGGCCCAAGAACTCCCGTGTCATCACCGAGTCCTGGTTGAAGGAGGGTCTGAAGGACCGCGGTATCACCCGTGACCTGAAGTGGGGTGTGCCCGTGCCCCTGGAGGGCTTCGAGAATAAGGTGCTCTACGTCTGGTTCGAGGCGTGCATCGGCTACCCGTCGATCACGGCCAACTACACGCCGGACTGGGAGCTCTGGTGGCGCAACCCGGAGGACGTGCAGCTCTACCAGTTCCTGGGTAAGGACAACGTGCCGTTCCACAGCGTCATCTTCCCCGGCTGCCAGATGGGCACGGGCGACAAGTGGACGATGCTGCACCACCTCAGCACGACTGAGTACCTGAACTACGAGGGCGGCAAGTTCAGCAAGTCGCGCGGCATCGGTGTCTTCGGCAACAACGCCAAGCAGACGGGCGTGCCCGCCGACGTGTGGCGGTACTACCTGCTCAAGAACCGGCCCGAGACGGGCGACACGCAGTTCGAATGGCGGTCCTTCGTGGACAGCAACAACAGCGAGCTGCTGGCCAAGCTGGGCAACCTGGTTAACCGGGTGATCAAGCTGGTGATCGCCTCGTACGGGTCGGTGGTGCCCGAGTTCACCGTGCCGGAGTCCTTCCAGCCCACCCTGGACGAGGTGACCGCCACGCTGCGCCAGTACGTCGAGGAGATGGAGGGCGCCCACCTGCGCGCCGGTGTCGTCAGCGCCATGAAGCTGGCTGAGATCGGCAACGGTCTGATCCAGGCCAACCGCCTGGACAACTCGCTCATCGCCAACGAGCCCGAGCGCGCCGCCGCCGTCGTCGGCACCGTGCTCAACCTCATCCACCTGCTCGCCAGCGTCTTCGCCCCCTACCTCCCCGCCACCTCCAAGTCGATCAACGAGCAGCTCGCCGTCCCCTTCGGCCTGATCCCCGCCCTCGACGACCTCAAGGACGGCTGGAAGCCCGACGCCGTCAAGCCCGGCCACAAGATCGGCAAGGCTCAGTACCTCTTCTCCCGCATCGACCCCAAGAAGGCCGACGAGTGGCGCGACCTCTTCGGCGGCTCCCAGGCCGACCGCCAGAAGAAGGAGGAGGAAGCCGCCAAGATCGCCGCGAAGAAGGCCGCCAACGCCGCCGCCAAGGCCAAGAAGAAGGAGAAGAAGGCCAAGGAGGCTGCTGCCGCCGCCGCGGCTGCTGCTGCTGGCGGCCAACCCGTCGAGGCCTCCGCCAAAGGTGGTGCTGAGAAATCCGATGCCTCGTCCTCCACCGAAGCCGTCGACAAGGTCACCGACGGTGTCGCCCAGGTGACTCTTCCCACCTCTTAAATGACCTTCCTTCCGAATCAAACCTTAAAGAGCATTCAAGAATTGCCGGGAAAAGAAAGTTAGGAAGTCGTTTTTTTGTGTGTCTCTTTTCTTGCAAGTCTTTTAGAGCGACTTGTGTCCTGTTTGTGGGTGTGGTTGGATTAGAAGCCTTTTCTTTTTCTTTTTCTTTTTCTGTTACCTTTTTTCATTTCGTTCCATATACATATGCGCAGAGTTGATACGAGATATGATGCAGATTGATTCCAGATTTCTTTTTTCTTTCCTTGCTGTTGTCGTCTTGCTTCTAAAGTCCTGGATAGCTCTTCGGGTTTTCCTTCATTGTTAGTGGTAGGGTAGGGCAGGGTGGGGTGGGGTAGAGGCAAGGGAGGTGTGTGTGTGTGTGTGTGTGTGGCCTGAGGTGTTCTGGCCCATTTAGTTTTCGGGTTCTTCCATCCGTGTTTGCTTTATTCAACAGTCGTCGAGGCATTTAACATGGGCCTCTCGCTGATGTTATTCAATACTCTTCATGATAGACATAATGATGTCGAGTTTTCCTACAAATGATCTAGAATCCCCTCCGCAGCCACATAACTTCTAAGCCTCTAAAAACTACCTTATGCCGTGACGACTCAGACTTACTGCGTTCCTACTACCTTCCAACTTTGGAATTCAAGAAGAACCATTTCTAACCTGAAATGAACCGCTCAGATGCATTATTCCCAGAACACGAAAAGATGATGATAAAAAGACATACATAAAATATGGAGAAAGGTAGGGAGGGTTCGGGGGCTGGGGCGGGCGGCAAGACCTGACCGTGATAATCCGTGCGTTTCATTTTTCAAGCATCGAAATTGTTGTTTGTTCCGGGGATCTCGAGATAACGACCCCCGATACGCCCACAGACGCGCACAGAAGCGTCCAAAAACATTGCTGCACACCGGGCCCTCCCTTCCATGCTCCTTCGTTCTCTTCCCGGGCATCAGACTTACTAGGGGATGAAATCATTACCGCTTGCGAGTACCAGGTCTGGGCTTGACTTCCTCCTGGGCAACGGGGTGCAACATGACCTTGTTGGGGAGTTGTGGGGTGTTGGCGGAGTAGCCCTTGCTCCAGTCGTAGCTGACGGCGTAGGCGAAGATGGTGCCCTGGCGGTTGAAGGCGGTGGTGGAGATGGTGCCGCCGACCGAGGGGTAGCCCTTGAGGCGGTGTTTGGCATCCTTGTCCCAGAAGTGGAAGGTGCCGTCGCTGCCGGCGGTGCTGAAGGTGCCGTGCACGGGGTGGAAGGAGATGGCATTGACCGAGTAGATGTTGCTGATGTCGCGCTGGTTGGGCGGGGTCTCGCGGTGGCACTTGAAGCTGAAGTTGGAGCTCGAGTCCTTCTCGTCGACGTACTGGATGGCACAGCGGCCCTCGACACTGCCCACGGCGAAACCCGTGGAGTCGGCGAAGCAGCTGACTACCCGCGTCTGCCACTTGAGGGGGGACTGCATCGTCTTGAAGAACTTGGTCGGCTGGTCGAGGTTGATGATGTTGATGTACCGGTCCGCCGTGCCGACCACCAGCAGCTTGTTCTTGACGTCCATCGTGTACACGCGGTCCTGGCACTCCACCGTCGCGATCGGGGTCTGTTGCCGGATATCCCAGTACTTTATCGTCTTGTCCCACGATCCCGTGATCAGGAGCGGGCTGTTTCCCTGCGGGTTGGGGATCATGTGGCAGCTGCGGATCGGCGCATCGTGCGCCGCCACTTGAGTCGTCGCATTCGACGCCAGGTCCAGCATGCGCGCCGCCTTGTCTGCGCCGGCGCCGACGACTTTCGTTCCATCCTAGGGCAGGGTCAGTAAGCGTTAGTTCGCGCGAGACGGAGGAAGCAGGGCATTAGGTAGCAATTGCGCGGACGGGGGGGGGGGCGGGTTCACGTACCGGTGACCAACAGCAGTTCAATACAGGAGCTTCGTGCTCGAAGAAAGCTTTGCCTTCGCTCTGCCCCTGGTCATTGATCTCGTAAATGCGCACCTTCTTGTCCCACGAGGCGACAGCAAGGTGTTCAGCGGCCGGGGAGAATCGAATGTCCGAGATGCTATCTTCCGGAGGTTGGTTCAGGGCGACATCCTTGGAGATGTCACCTGTGGTGTTGGAGGCACCCGCTGACGACGAAGCGCCGACATTACCGAAAAGCGACATGGCGACGTAGGCTCCGAAGGTTGTATATTATGAGGTATAGGGCGGAGTGGCCGGAGGCGATGAAAGCGAAAGCTCCGATACGCGAGACGAAAAAGGAAAAGCAGACGCGATGACTTGGTTGGCGGTCGGCAGAATCTGGAGGTAAGGATTCTCAGGCGACTGAAGACAAAGAATTGGCTTCCACAATTCTTGCTCGCTTGACTTTTTGCAAGCTAGGAGCAGGAGCAAAGCTCGTTGTACCAAAAAAAAGGCGCTAGGGAGCGAAGCACTGGAATTGTTGACGGAGAAGCGAGGCTCTTTCGACGATGTCGGTCCGGGTTGTCTCCAAGACTCCAAGACAATCCTCGAATATCTTCGATCCTGCCGAGTCACACCGCCTTCCGCCCGGCCTGGCTGCTGACTCAGCCAATCTTGCCCGTTGCGGCAGTTGATGGCCATTGCCAGTGCCTGCCAGTGCGGGTCACCCTAGAGTGGCCTGGCGGAATGCGTAGAGCTAGGTCTAAGATCAATTCATGCATGCATGGATGGTGGGTGGTCAGATGGTCGAGTGATTGCTTCAACTGTTGATGTCCCAGAGACCCTGCTCTCATACAATGTCCATCTCTGTATGCTGTTCTCTTGTTTCTGGCTGATATCGGTACGGTCCTTCATAATGAGGACCAATTCTTGTATCAAGGTAACTTACAAGCTACAAGATAGTTATACAGTCATCTCAGCGGACGGTCACTCTGCAACACCATACCATCTCAAAGTCTATCGTTTTACTCATCCGTTTGTACGCGTTGTACACCTACACGGAGATGCGGGACAGGCACCCAGCCATGAGTCCAGAATCCCCTCTTCCCCCTCTCGCCCTCAGCCAGACAATGTAGGATGGCGACAGCGTCGGGGGTAAAACCGCAGGCGTCGCTGGTCGTGATTCGCAGCTCCCGACAAACCCCGCCCGGTGCTGCAAGTTGAGGCAGTCTGCAGACCAATGGCAGACCTCCCTCACCATACGATCGACCTCGGATTGACATTCTGGAGAATCTCCAGACCCGGGCGGAGCTTGTCGCAGAAGGTACCGGAGCAGGCCAGGGGAGGTATCAGCGCACACATCACACCACCACTCCCAGGCATGATTGATCGAGGGGGCCAGTTCCCGACCAAGTATGCATCCCTGACTTTCCTTCCCTCTTTCACTTTACCATTATTGCCTGAATGTCCCTTGTGGACGTGGGCATGGTCGTGGTCGTGGTCGTTGTGGTAATACCCCCTCTCCCATTTAAGCTCACGTGTTGCCCGGAAACCAAGGGTGGACTGTACCACGGAAAGCAGGTGTCAATTGATTGGACTTTGGTGATGGAAAACCACGCAATTTAGACAATGAAGTCATCCATTTTTTAGGGAAAGGATGATCATGATCAATCGGAAGACGGGGGGTGGGTTGGAAAGAGGAGCGGGTGGGAGCAGATCTCTGGTTTCAGGGTAGAATTGGAAATTGGATTGGTGGTGTCATGTAAAAAAACCGGGGGTGGGTGGAAGTAACCATAGATTTGAGTGGTACATCGAGTGGGAAAAAAGTACTTTGTTCGAGGTGTCAGTGTCGGTGTCAGTGTCAGTGTCAGTCAGACTATCAGTCAGTGAATGAATGAATGAGACGAGACCGATGGAAGTGGAGCAAAGCCGCCCGCGGTGGGAATGCGGGGTGCAGCTCTTAGTTCAATGGGAAGCTCTTAGTGGCCGCTTCCGACGTCAGGAGCTGCTCGTGTGATCTCACTACTATGTACTCCGTAGATGGAAGTACAGTCACTGCGGTCATCCAGTACAACAACTTACGATCAGACATCCAGGCATCGGTTGGAGGTGGAAGAATTGTGTGACGATAGCTGAAGTTGTTGGGGTTGTTTCTTTTGATGGATATGACTTTGATGTGGTAGTGTCTGTAATGTAAGGTAGGGTCTATGTTTACCTACAATGCGTATACCATACCGTACACTATCCATTGTAGGTATACTAAAGTATACGCATCAGTAGATGACCCGTTGATGGGAGCAATGGGAGCAATAGACATGGAACCCGGGGGTTTCATGCTTTGATGCCAACTGGGGAGTGGTTGAACCAGTGCGGTCACCTGCCCACCCTCCACTCTCTTCTCTTCCTCCGCTCCATCCAACTCTTCTTAAAGTTCCTGGACTTCCCCCTCGCCTCTTCCATTCTCCTTCTTCTTCTCTTCCTACTTTATCCATTGGAACTCTCTCTCTCCATCTCTCATCCACTTCCATCCCCTCCCATCTGCTACTTCCACCCAATTCACTGTTCGGTAAGCTTTCGACCCTGACCCTGGTCCTGATGTTTCCTTTGACTTCATTCCATGCCATCTGTCCCTCGCTCCTCTCACTTGATCCTCTCTCCCCTCTGTAGCTTAAAGCTCTCGGAGTCGTAGTCCATTCTCTCCCATCTGAACCACCCTCCTTCTGTCCCATATTCCATCATCGTCATCGACATCACTAATAAAACGACGCTTCATATCACCAGCCAGTGATTCCAGACTCATACCATCGTCCACCATGTCGGAAGAACTCACCAGGGTCGACTCCGCCGTCGCCGGCCTGACGATAACGGCCAAGGACGAGAAACCAGTCCAGGTCACCAAGGACACCAAGCACAGACGTCACTCCTCCACCGCGGAAGGCGTCTACAACATCAAGGAACTCGGTGCGTAACTTATTCTCTCAAGCTCACCTGCCCGACCCACTCACTCACTAACCATCCGAACAACAGAGGAGAAGAAAATCGAATTGACCCTGCCCATCGAGACACAACGCACAGGATGGTAAGAGTTCCATCACCACGCCTCCATCAAGATCAAGCAAGCCATGTCCCACTCCATCTAACCTTTCACCACTGCCAACGAACAGGAAGCTCAACACCTCCCCATCCACCGTCGAAGACAAGGACATCCTCAAACTCCACCTCGTCAACCCCCCGGTCAAGAAGATCGACCTGCACTTCCCCTTGGGCCTGGAGGTCACGGCCCGCAACATGAAGGGCGTCACGATAAAGGATGCGCTGGACGCAATCTACAAGCAGTTCAAGAAACAGGTACGTCGGTCCTCGGCCCTTATCCAATCCACTCACACACGAAGGAACAAAGGAACACTCTCAACTAACCCACACGCAGTCTGACGACGTATTGACCGATCCCTACCTCAAAGGTTTCGAGTGGGACAAGGATGAGTGCTGGACACGCCTCATTGTCCACCAGACCAAGCAGGGTTCCCCCGCCCAGCCCAGCAGCAAGAAGTCCAAGAAGAAGAAGAACGAGGACGCATAGAGGGCTTCCCCCCCCCCCTCAAGCTTGATTGAAGCGTGAAGCCGTTTCTCCATAACCCTCTCGTAATGAACTACCACGACCTCCTGTCTTAACCGCTCCCCTCCTTGTTGTCCGATTGACTCTTCTCTTGTGTACTACCCCCTATTTGTTGTAGGGGACATGGAGAAAGGCAAAAGGCATCGTTAGTTAAATCCGGAGCAAGACGGAGACGCTATCTAATTCTTTGTGATTTGAAACCCTCTCTATCTTCGCGCGTGTTTTCAGATACTCTCTCTTTTTGTCAAGGTGCAATCTTATGGCCACTTTCGTTATGGTCGATCGTCAAAGACGCGTCTCGGCTCTCATGGGGTCACCGACGTGGTGTTACAAGGCTGAGGAAAGTGAAACCCCACCAACTTACAATTGACTGATTGACTGGGGGTCGAAATGGACGGTGGTAACTTACTGTACTGTGCAATCCATATCGATCCGCAAGTTTCCCATCGTTTACAATCACACATTTCACTCCACTGCCATACCAGACCGAACCAGCCGCTTGAGTTTCTCGCGAAAGACGTAAGCTAATCACCCACCGTGACACGTATTTCGTAGCGTAGTTGTCGTTCCAGTTGTGGTTGTAAATAGCATACAATCGAAGTACTCCCGATCGCTAAGACTCAGGCTAGTGCCGTAGCGTTCCGCGCTAGTCCACAACCCGGTATCCACCTTCAACTTGCTACTGCTACGAGTACGTACTCCCTCAACTACAGTACCTTCTATGTACCTCTACTTTCCGTCGGTCATTATGCATACCGATGCAGAGCGGTATTTACCTTGATGCCTTCCACCAACGAACGAAACAATCGATCCATCTAACCCGTAACCATAACCATGCATTGCATTCCGTGCGAACCACAGGTATTAGTATTAGATGCAGGCAGAGAACCACCAACGGCGGAAGAAAAGAAACATGCTTATTTGCAAAAGTAACGGGAAAGTAGACGAGAATAGAGAGGAAAGAAGAGAACGGCCTCAGATGGCCCGACAATGCATCAAGCAAAGCGCCCGCTAAACCCAAATGCAACTAGAGCGGTAGAGTGATTAGAAGGGGAGGGTGGGAAACAGAAAGAAAGCGTGGGGGGCATAATAAGTATACAACAGCAAACACAGTCCGAGTCATCGTCAATGCATTAAGTGTGGAGACATTAAGTTATGGAGAGTGAGTGGGTCTAACGTCCGCGTCCGATGCTGTCGAGAGGACCCCCACTACCACTACCCCCACCCCCAAACAACACCAGCACGATCTCGTCCAAGATCGTGAACACCAGGTGTGCATTCAACCGTGGGTTGTTCAAGGTAGCGAAGATGCGCCGGGCCGCAGCTTGCGCGTTGGCCCGCCCGACGACGTTGCCCGCCAGGTCGGGGATCAAGGTCGCCAGCACAAGGCTGGCCTCGGTGCGGCTGCGGAGGCGTTCGGGTGGGGTGCGGACTTTGCTCTGGCGCAGGGTCCCGCCGGGCCACATGGTGTCCTTGGTCAGGGCTAAATACCGGAGGAGGGAGTCGTCCTGCACGAGTGAACGGGCCCCGTCGCGGACCTTGCGCTCGATGGTGCCGCCCAGGAGCTGGTGGAGGACAACGACGACGGCGCGCCCGCGCAGCCAGTTGTTGCCCTTGTTGAGTTCGAAGGTTTCGAGGAAGAGATCGCAGATGGGTTTGATGAAGGGCTCGAGGTCGCGGTCCTCGAAGGCGTTGAGCTCGGCCTCGGCCTCGGCGGCGGTGACGGCGTCCTCGGGGGAGAGGGGGACAGTGCCGGTTGTGTTTGTGGTGTTGAGGTTGCCGGTGGGATTGGTGTTGGTGGCGGCGGAGATGAGGTTTTGTCCGGCCGTGGAGAGTTGGTCGAGCACGCCGAAATTGCCGAGGAAGTCGTCCATGCCGTCGGCGACGGAATTGTAGATCCGGGTTACCAGGTCTTTGGTCTCACCGTCGCGGGAGCTCTGCGTCTCGTTGCGTTGCGTGATTGCTCGCTGGGACAGGAATGCTCGCAGGTCTCGGCTGCGGCAGACTTCAGGGAGAAGGAGCAGTTTCTGCAGGTATTGTTCGAGGGCTAGGCGTCTCTTCTGAAGGAATTCTTTCTGGAGCTTCAGAACCACCCGGCGGCGTGGAAAGTCCAAATGCCTCACGGACGGGTATCTCATGCGTAGTTTGGTGTGAAGTTCATGGAATTCGCTATAGCGACGCGCAACCGCCCAGGATGCCGCTGGCATTTGCTCCCCGGCGTTTCGTTGCACTTCGATGACGTCTTGGAATCGGTCAGTTCGTTGTTCGATGTCTTGACATCTATGAAAAGACCGCATGATTTGGACTTACACATGGCGAATTCTCGACCATCCTCCTCCTTCCCTACTACGATGGATTTGATCCGGACCGTTGATCGGCCGTACAGGCTGTTATCGCTCTCTTGAATGATGTACTGTTGCCGTTGCATCTCTTTCCGGTGAATCTCACGCTGGATACTTGCTTTCGATTTGCGCAGAATCCTCAATTCTGCGGTGTTGTTTGTGAGCTCGGCTTTCCGAGTGAGAGTGTCGACCACGGACTCTTGCGATCCCAGCTTCTCAATTTCGGTTGTGAGCGCCTCAATGGCTTCCGTCAGCCCTAAGTCTCCGGGCGCAGCTTCATGAACTTCATCAGCCGGGTCTTTGTCCGACCCCAGAGGTTCTTCATATTCATCTTCGATGAACTTCTGCTGGTCAGCGAAAAGATCATCGTCAAAGACACCATGCCGCGAAGATCGATCGATGAGTCCAAGCGAGGCAATGCTCGGTTTTGCCCGCTCATCTAGCCGATTCTCCGCGCGAGCATACTCGGCCGAGCTGCGCGGAGAGCGCGGGAACAGATCACCGGCTGAGAGGCGCGTTGGGGATGACTGTCCGCTCTTCAAATCTTCCAACCTACTGTTTCCGGGCTGATTTGTGATAATATCATTCAAGGCAGCTTCCATCGTCTCGATTACCTGATTCTGATTCGCTTCATTGTCGCCATTCTGCGAGTCCTGTCCAAGACTCTGGGTCGACATGGCAAGGGGATCAGTGTCGTAGTCGTCGTCGAACAAGGGACCTGACCTTTCAGAATCAAATGAACGTCTTGAAGAGTCATCATCATCAAGCTTCTTGCCCATACTTCGTACATCGCTTGATGACACAGCTGCACGTCTCAGATCTTTGGGTTTGGCGCTTGGTTGTGAGGAGGTACGGGTCATCAGCGGAGGAAGCGGTCGTCTCTCGGGAAGGTCGGCGGTGCTGGGGGATTGTGGAGGCACATGAGACGCAGATTGTGAAACTTCATCTGACGCAAGGTATTTGTAGTAGAGATCGGACTTCTTGAATTTAGGATAGTAGATGCTCTGGAGCTCCTCGAGTACCGCAGACTGAGTCGTCAGAATTACAGTCCGTGCTTTACGGTACTGGTCCGCAGTGGCTCGCTTGCCTGCGTTCAGGAACGCTTTCACTGCTCGACGGGATTCTTCCGGCACTTTCAACTCAGGTTTGTTCAGGTAACGCTGGCTGATCAATGCCATATCATTCTGGTCTGTGGAAGTCCACGATGTTGAGGTTGGAGAGTCCTCGTCTCCAAAATCATCTTCCAGCGGATTGCGGAACCCATCAACGACGATCCAGAACTGCACCAGAGACATCAGCTTTTGACGGTCCATAAACTCCATGAAATAAGAGAGTCCTGAGGCATCATGCATCACGTCGACCAACGATGCCTCCCGAGGGGCGGAGTTCTTGCGCCGGAAGTGGGATGCTGCCGCCGAGGCGTGTGACACACGGCTCCCTGCAGGCGTGGAAAGCTTCGTTACTTTTTGATCCAGAACCCTCTTAGCCGTTTCCAGCCTTTGTAAATAGGTCGCATCTTGTCCTTCTACCATAGATTCGCGCTTCAGCTGGCTTACAATGAGGGCTCTGAACCGTCTAGCATCGGAGATGTTGTCGCAGCGCCGGATCGCTCGCACCAATCTCTCAAAGGCTCTTTCTGAATCATGAGGACCTAGACGTGGAAATTGGTTTCCGCGCTTCGATCTTGGTGCTGGTGAGGCGTGTTCATCTAGTGCCGCCCGCAGCTTTCGGACCGTCTTTCGGTCCTGTATGGCAGTACGCCCGTAAGCCTCCACCAACTGGTTCCAAGTGTCTGGGTCTGAAAGAGCCGCAATTATAGGATACAGTACGGCGCATGCGAGGATTTCTCGGACTATGACGGACACAATGCGGCTATTGAGTACCGACGCCGGAAACAGTTTTGGTAACAACCCCACGGTGATTTTGCGAAGGTATTCTTGCTCGACGAGCTTCTGGTCGGACAAGGAGACTCTAGCTGCCGGGTGTATGTTGCCCTCCCGATACTTGCTCGCTATGGCCAGATCCAGCTCGTCCGACTCGGTCACATTCCGAGTAAGATTTCTTCCCCGCACCAATCGCTCCGCGACATCAAATTCCTTCAGGTGGGTTGCGAGTATGGGGAATATGCGAGAGACGAGAAGCGAGACTAAATCCTCTGCTAGCAATCGTTCGCGCAGGTTTTCAATGGCGGTTCGGATCACTCGGTCGACCTCGTTCACGAAGGCGGGGTTCGGGCTAATATGCTGATACCATGATGCGACAAAATCGCGCGTGACTAGACTTAGAACTTCGTCAATGCCCTCTGAGACCACAAATGACTGAGGGTAGAGCGAGTCGGGTTTGTAGATTGAACGTTTCCGGACACCTCGCGCTTCTTGGTCCCAATGGCGGCGGGTGAGGAAGGCGACGGGGCGCTTGTTCAGGGCGGGGGAAGCTGCATCGGCTGTAGGTCGCGTCGTAAGACAAACAAGAAGAAGTAGGGTGGTTGAAGTGAGCAAGACACCTAGCACCAGTGCATGGACAAGGTATCTGAGCACAGGCAGCCACTGGGTGACCAAACCCCAAGCTATGAAAGCACCGATGGCCAGCAGGATGTACTCTTGACGCTTGAGGGCCATTGTCCCCGGATCAGTCGTACTGCCATGCCGAGTTAAGCACGACAAGAACAAGACGGAGACGTAGAACTTGACATGTTGCTTAATTTCAAGGATTTTCTGAGTATCGAACTAGCTTCCCCTGGGTGAAATAATATTAGGGGGATATTATGATATGATATGGTCGAGATAACCAAGTTAAGGTGACCACGATGAGATAATGCATGGAACGATGGGATGATAAGATGCAGGCGGTGAGGAAGTTTGGTTGATCCGGAGTCCGGGGCTTCCCTGGTAGAGCATGTTACAATACTGTACCAGGTTTAATACTGGCTATACTACATTGGGAGTATTGTCAACAACAGGGCATAACTAGCTGGAGTAAGCATTGGTCACAGCTGAGTACGAGGCATAGTTCACTTGAAGCATAGAAAGTGCATATGGATTGGTACAGGCTAGATTGCAGTGGTTAGTCACAGAGAAGAATTTCTGAGAGTTACGATGTACACATACGGCATCAAATGCAGACCAAAAAGCGTTGGGGCCTCGGAGCCTAGAAGTAACTTAGAGGTGCCAGTAAACGACGTCATGCCGTTTTGGGATTCTTTCTTCTCCACCACCGCATCTCTTTGGGTCTTTCCTGTTCCTCGCCCTCTTTCACTTCTCTCTTCCTCTCCCTCTCCCTCGTTCTCTCATTTCCTTTCCTCTTAATTCTTCTGTTTCTTCTCGGAGCTGACATTCCGTGTCTTACGTTTCATCTTCTTCTGCAATATGGCCTCCCTATCCAACTTTGTCGACTTGTCTCAACCATCCCTGCAATGTATGTTGACAATGAGTTCTTCCCCGGTTCTCCCCCGCATGTGATTCTCAACTCCACTCTTTGTGTAGGGGCTGCGTTGTCCATTGCCTTCAACCCCATCTTTTGGAAGTAAGTACTGATGATGAGAACTTCTCTCTCCTGACCTTTCTCTCGGTTGGACTGACCGATATTTCAAATCCAGCATTGTTGCACGTGCTGGTTAGTCCCCCACACTTCTTGCCCAATTAATCAGGTCTGCCTGCCAGCCTGGCAAGATTTCGCACAGATCTACGACTCTTCATGCGACCTTTCAGAATGACTGAAACTCATTCTCGTCTCGTCTTGTAGAATATCGCAATCACTTCCTGACTCGTATCTTCGGTGGTAATCCCTACTACGGCTGCTACTTCCTCGCCGTCACCATTTTCGGCATTGGAATCCTACGCGACCACGTCTACCAAACCGCCCTGGCAGACCAGCCTTATTATGCCCCAGTGCACCAACCCGTCCTCGGCGGGCTCCTCTTCTCCGTCGGCTCGGTCCTCGTCTTATCCAGCATGTGGGCGCTCGGTGTGACCGGCACCTACTTAGGAGACTATTTCGGAATCCTTATGGATGCTCCCGTCACTGGGTTTCCCTTCAACGTCACCGGCTCGCCGATGTACTGGGGAAGCACCCTCAACTTCTTGGGTGTAGCCCTGTACAGAGGTAAAGTCGCGGGCCTCTTTCTGACCGCTGAAGTCTTCATTCTCTACTGGTTCGCTCTCCAATGGGAGGAGTAAGTATTTCCCTTTCATCCAACTGTTCTCTCCGAACCCACCCCCTTCCCCTACATGTTTTCCTCACACATCATGTTCTTGGGACCTCAATACCACACGAACTATCAGCAAGCCTATACTCGACCATCCCAAACGCGACAAACCCCAGGCTCCCTCATTGTCCCACGCGAACACTCTCAGCCCATACGCGATTTCTTGATTTGGAGAGATATTCCCCACAAAACTGGTCCTGCGCAAATAATCACGCAACTAACCACAAACCATCCTCATGTAGTCCCTTCACTGCCGAAATCTACGCCAAGCGCGAGCGCGAGCGTGCCAAGGGCAAGCAAGGCGGCAAGAAGAACCTGTAACTTCAGTCAGTACCTTAACAGGCACTTCGATATCCGATGTTCCGTCAGAGGAAGGGGGTGGTGTCCCTCCCACCGCGGGCTTTCCTGGCACTGACATACATCATCCAATGCGGAACGCGATGCAGCTCTCTTTCTTCCCCCCTCCCCCCCAACGCGCCAATGAAAGGGAGCTGTAGGGCGTCTTCAACACTCACTATCCCCTTCTCGCTCTCGCATAACTTCGGTACCACTACACACCATCAACCTGCCTACCACTGCCGCCCTCATCAGATAAACCCACCCTAGGACAACCTCACCGGGCAGTCCTTCCAGCAGAGGGAATGGAAAATGCACCCTCCTAACCCACAGTATTCCTCAACGATACATGACTACCATTCCTCGACCCTCAAATGACATACATACAACAGAAAAACATAATATGCAGAAAACGACGGCGTCGGACGACGCCATACGAGCCGAAAGTAAGAGACCGAGCGGAGGATGGAAGAGTTACACTAAACCCGGGGGGGTAAAAAAATTGTTTCATTCTTTTATTGTATTTTCTTTTTCCGAGCTTCGATTTAGATCTCATGGTTATTGATTGTATAGATCGGGACCATTGAGTACGAAATGACACGTGCCCGTACGTTCCGAAGTGATGATAGATAATAGTTTGATAAATGATAGGAGGGTAAGTGGATTGGGGGGTGGGTATCAAGTATATGTATGTATGTGGTGTGTGTATGCAGTGTGCTTGTGCTTGTGCGCTACATGCAAACCTTGCAGAGAATCGGAGCATGAAGAAAAGGGTTGGTCATCATTCAGTCCATTATCATGTCATGGATATATCAGTCCCTCAAAAAGTTTAAACGCCGCCAACTCCGCGCTATGGGTTCTCTAAGATGATGTCAATATAAGAATCGATGCCTGCATTCGTAGATGGGTGAAAAAGAAGAGGTCGGCCGTGAGAGAGAAGAGAGCGAATAGACGAGGAAAGAGGCTAAGCTCGTCGACCTCTGCCTCTTTTGTTCGACGTCCGACTTTCTTCGACAGGTTCGATCTCGTCCTCGTCCGCGCCCTTCTTGAGGTCCTCTCCTTCGGCCAGACCCCATTTCTCACGGTCGTACCAGTCTTCGCCGTCGCTCAATTCGCCGACGTGGCCTTCGGCTTTGCACCATTCAAGTACGTCTTCCTTCATGCGGCAGGCGCGGAGGAGGCAGTCCAGCATGTGCTCGAAGCCGCGGACGGTCTCCTCTTGCTTTTGAACATAGGACCATAGCAGCCGGCGGGTGTCTTCGGCTTCGTTGGGGGGTAGGCCGAAATTGGGGTCGGGTCGGACAGATTCGGGAATGAGGAACAGTGGGTGGGGTGTGGGTAGGCTGCCCAGAGTGTCATCGGATGGGGCAGGGGAGAGAGGCCCCGATTCGTCGTCCTGGTGAGGATTGGCAGCGTTGGTCTGCGCACGTGTTGTCATGCGTCGAGGAGGCTCCGGCGATATTCCATCATCCTGCATCTCTGCGTCCTTATCTGTATCGTCGCCCGCAGCATCGGGTCGGTGTTCGGGGTCTGGCTGTGTAACACTGGCGGTACCATTGCTGTTCGAGTCTGCCTTCCCTTCCCGGTGAATAGTGCGATCGGAATCAGGCAGCTGATCTTCAACTATCTTAGTGCTGTTCGCAAGGTGACTGCCATTAACTTGTGTTTCTTGCTTGGTTGTTTCTGAGTGATGGGGCAGGTCGCCCACGGGCGTGTCGACTTCCTCCGATTTAGGTTCCCTAGTCTGGTCGAGCTTTGGGAGATGATGCACCTGGTTCGTGCGGTGATCTTGGGCATCGGTCATCTCCACGTCTTCGTCAGCAGCAGGCTGAGACTGCGAGGTCTCATTCTGAGCGGCATGAGACGGATGTGATGCCTCGGTGACCGACGAGGATCCCTGTGTGCCATACGTTTCCGTTGTAGGTTTGCTTGTCGGTAGTGGTGCAGTTGTGCCGTTCGGTCCGCTCTGATTCAAAGACGGACTATGCGTAGTGCTAGCCACTCGGGGCTCAAAGATCCAGCGATCCGCCGACGTCTCAACCATACCGCACGCCATCCAAGAACTATCGCCCAAAAACTGCCTGTGCAGATTTCTCGCCCGCCATAACAATGCTCTTTCCTGGCGAAGTTTGGCTTCAATTGCTTGGGTCATATGCAACATTGCTTTCGAGGTATAGGCATGCGACATGGAAGGATGCGTAGGGAGTTCAGAAGGATGCTTCAACGGGCACATAAAATCTGAGAACAAACGACGGGAAACGATTAGCCACTCATGTTCTCTCGCACGATCGGTGTAGGCAGGGTGGACGAGGTCTCTCACTTTCGAGTGCGATCTCAGAGAATGGATTCTCTTCCGCTGCCGCGGCATCTGCCTCAGAATCTTCGTCGTCGTCGTCGAGCTCATCACCTTCGGAATCGTAGCGCACCGGATTTCGCTGGAGGATGTAGCGCGTGAACCCTCCATGTTCGATTTTCTATAAAGTCCAGGCCCAGCGATGATCAGCCTGCTTGCTCGCGCTTTCTCCGTTTCCATCCTGCCTTCCATCGCTCACGATCATTCGACGCACGATGATCGAGAGAGAGGAGACGCAGTGAAGAACGACTCACCTGCTTGCAGAGATCCTCCGGATGGATATATCCTAGTGCTCCCTCTCGAACGAATTTCGCGTTTGCCCGAAGCTTGTTGCCTCGGTTTGTCGGTTGGGTGATAGGATCGTCAGGGCCGGAATCTACCACAGCGAGAGGGGAGGAGGGTTAGCCAGATTGTCAACGACAAAAAGACCGAGATCTGGAAGGCGTAGACATACAATCATTTTCCTTGTGCAACGCCCTTTTCATGCCAAGGATCGTGTCGAGGATTAAAGCCTGCTGGGTCATGGCTGCGATTGGAGCGAACAGACAGCAGTCGCACTACCAAGCAGCCGCACGAGCAGGAGGAGGGGAAGCAAATGGGGTCTGGAATGACGATGGTGTTGGTGGGAAAGATTTCTGAGAGAGGCAGAAAATAAATGGCAAATGACCGGTTAGTAGCCGGAGAGTAAGGAGCGAGCGTGAGAAGATGGGGAGGTTGTAAGAGCGAAGTGGGAGGAGGGAATCTGCGCAGCTCTTCCGAGAGCGAGAGAGAGAGAGAGTTGCTCACCTCACTCGCTCTCCGCTTAGCGGAATGGGGAGCTGCGGGCGTCGCTCCGATCGCCGCCACTAGTCCATTGCGGGTAATGCGTGATAAGGGCTGGGATCACGTGC